CGTGAGCAAAGCCTGATCACGTGACCCCAATCCTCTAGATCACGTGATCGGATACCATGCGTTGTCCCGTATCGTGCCTGTGTTCCCATTGGCCCTCTCCGTAGGTTGCCTTCCCTTCGGGCCTGCCAACGGGTCTACGGTGGTTCGTTGGTTCGTAACAACGAGGTAATTGTAAGGGGGTGTCTGTAGACGAGGTGACTGGCCCTTCTGGTAGGCGCATTAAGATGTAGGGGGTGGAGCGAATGGTGATTGTCTCTGGTGTTATGGCAGCCTCCTCGGGACAGCCTCCTTTAGACCGTTCCTAGACCTTACATTCAAAAGGCATCTGTTGAAGGGAGTTCTGTGGGAGGGAGTTCTGTGGGAGGGAGTTCTGTGGGAGGGAGTTCTGTGAGAGGGAGTTCTGTGGGAGGGAGTTTGCACAGGACATACTGCCGTTATGATCTTGTACCATGCCCCACCCCCTCACCACCATGATATCCTGGATTGCTTGAGTCCCAGGATATGTCGCCAGCATTGAAATCTCCAGCTATAACGCAGCCAAAAGGTGGAGTCCATACTTCCAGAATATTATCCACTTCCTGTGGGTTGTCACATGGCCGGTAGACACTGGCAAATGTGATGCCATGTACCTTGACCCAGGTGATGTCTCGTGTAGCATAGGGCCGAAGTTGATCCGCTTGAAGGTGTTTTCCCACATATGTTTGTTTGTTTTGTATTTAACGTGGGGGTAGCTCCTCAGTAGTGCAAACCACGCCTCCCAGAGCCTCTGCATCGCAGGGTTGTGGAGGTCTCAAGATAATAAGTACAGTCAGTCCCGCTTACGGGCCCATCCCCGTTGTTGCGGCGGTATGACCTTGGGGTCATCCATCTGGTCCTTCAAGGAAGGTTATCTATCGGGGGCAGATTGTTAAAAAGAACTTGCTCTTCTCCACGAATTTTGCCCATTCTGTGCTCCTCTCTCCTAAGTATTGTAAACAGGCTGTCCTAGGCGAGTACCTAGGCAACAACCGATTTTTCCCCAGCCTCCTACAAAAGAAAATGTGTTGTGGTGCTTTCTTTTCACCACAGCTGCAGTGGTTGTTCGAGTCTGTATGCCCAAAGCGTTCGTGGTATCTGGCAAAGTCGCCATGTTCAGATCTGGCCGCTAGAAGTCTGTGTAGAGTGCTCCTCTTAAAAGATATAAGGCCTCTTTCAGTTACTGCATGTGAGTATACTTCTTGATACCTAGGTTCTGATTGGTCTTTCCACCATTGATTGAACTCTTTCTTGCCCTTTCTCTTGAGATCTCTCTTGACCCAAGAGATTGTGGGAAGGTTTGTTGTGTCTGTTTCTAGCATGGCGCCCTCTTTTGCTAGTATGTCAGCAGCCTCATTACCATCAATATCTCTGTGTCCAGGAATCCACTTGACGGTCACTCCAGGAGTGTGTGCTGTGGCAAGTTCTTGAAACCGTAGAAAAATGTTCTGTGATGTCTCGGGTGGAGTCCCATTAAGCCTGTTTTCCCACATAGATGAGAGATCTGGGCCGTGTACTGTCGCTGTCCCAGGAATCCACTGGGGAGTATATATCGTAATTGGGGTATGTCTTTACTCCCATTCTCCTGCCTGGTGGTATGCCAACCCAGGGCTCTTGCATCAGAATGATGTCTGCTTGTTCTCCTTTGTAGTCAGCCAGGTTGATGGCTAACTCTGTAGGGCCTACACTTTTTTGTCCTCCTGTTGTATTCACAAAATGGATAACTAGATGCCCGTGTCGATGTGTTTTGTTTGATGTACCTAACATTGACTGATAACAATGGTATCGGCATCTCTGGGATGAGTTGTATCTGTTGTGTCGATTTGCATTGTGATGTCTTTGTTATTGTTGTTGGGTGTTGACCCAGCTTGGTTTCTGCCTGTTTCATTAAAGGCCTTGGATCTGGCTCTTTCTCCAGCCAGCCTTATTTCCTGGATTTGCTCCCATATGTGCTTATGGATGATGCCTTTCACAACCTTGGGGCGTGCAGGGCATTTGTCGAAGTTGGCAGCATGAGGTCCTTTGCAGTTGACACACTTTGGGATTGGTTTTTCGCACTCCCCCTGGTGTACTGTATTGGCGCAGTGTGCACATACTTGCTTTTCGCATCGGTAATTTCTACCATGGTATCTGAAGCAGCTTGCACACTGATGAACCTTGGGGGTGTATTGAATATGCCTTGAGGTCATTGAGTGGGCAAAAAGCGTGAATGGTTTCTTAACTGCACTGGGCAGAGAGATTATCCACGTGGTTTCTGGATTAGAATTAATCGTGTTCTTTGAGAGTATGCACCTCAAAGATCTGTTGCCTGTTTGAGCTTTAACTTCATCAGCAACTGCAGTGTCGGTAATATCGATTGTGAACCCTTCTGCACTGATGACCTTTCTTGGACATCCATCGACCTTGTAATGGTGCCAGACTGTGTGGGTCTCAATCTTTTGTGCCTTGAGAATGTCGGCAATTTCTTCTTGGGAAGCCAGAAGCTTAGCCTGAGTTGGCTTGTCCCTTGGGTGTAAGGTAAAACCAGAAGGACAACGTGTCACTTCTCTAAGCTCCTGAGGGTGGAGCTTAAGTCTTCTGTTTAGTGTAGACTTAATTCCATAAGGCTCAAGGTGGCTATTATCTATGCGGACAAAGACCCGGAGATCATCCTGCTTCCTCTTCAATTGGTTGATAGTGATGAGGGCACTAGGCTGTGTTTTCTTCATGGTAGTGTTGACTGTCCATGGATGCTGTTGTTGGCCAGAGGAGACAGCTTGGGCAAAGGTCATGGTGGGCTTCCCTATTTCTACCCCACCAGAAGTGGCCTTTCTTGTGGTCAGATCTCGGGTTTCCAGCCACTTATTCAGACATTTAGAGAAGAAAGCGCTGAACTCCTTGGCATGAGAGTATAATTCGGTTCCAGCTTTCTCAAGTGTCTTATCGACTGCTGCAGCACACTCCTGAAACATTGTCATCCTGGCTTCATAGAGATGCTTGTCTTTAGCCAGTATTTTGGCAACTTGGTCCTGGCACTCTGAAGAGGAGATTTTGTTCCTTATATCACCTCTAATGACTTGGTCTGTAAGGATTTCGCTTGACTGAGGTGATTCCATATCAATGGTGCTGCTATTATTGATATTTCGGGATTTTCCTTTCAGAGGGGAAACAGTGGTGAAGTCAGCCTCAGAGACCTGTGACGGGCTGCTGTTGATGTCGTCAAGCAGTGCCTGGCGGAGCCTGCTTGGGGTTGCCGGGTCATGTGTTCTTTTAGGGACTGGGGATTTGAACATGCCGCCAATAGTCGTCTTTGAGACGGCCACTGGCGTGTTTGGGGGCCTGTCGTGGAAGGGTGCCATCCAGCTTGTGAGAAAAAATTTCTGCGCCTTGGCAAGGATAGTCAGGTACTGAAACAAATGTCTGTTTTAGTGCAGATATAGAGGTTGCGCCCTAACAGCGGGGCGCCAAGAAAAATAGTTGTTTTTGGTAAGAGTGTGTGCTCTGCTATCATGATACTGGTCGTAGGCTGTACTAGTTAGGAATGTGCATTGCATGACTGGTCAGGTCTTTCTTACCAGTCAGTAGGGGATTTGTATAGCTTGTAAGATGCATGATATTAGCCTCGCATGAGTGACAAGGGTGTGTGACTGGTAAGGTGCACCTAAAAATATGCAGCCACCGTTGCCCAACTATAGATCCCGTGGATAGATTCTCAATCAAGGCATCCCGGGTCCCAGGTCGTGGTCATGTCGATCTACCACGTCTCCCTTTAGGTGCCGGGCCAAGGCAGCCGCAAGCGGGTTTCCTGGAAACAAGGGGAAGGGCCTGCTATCTCTTATGGGGTCTTTAACCATTATATATCAATCAAGAATCTCTGTAAAACGCCGCCTTTCCTTGCCAAAATCATAGGCTAGGTACAAACTATAGCCATAATAACCTTGAACCGCTTTCTTAGGACCTTCTGTTACCAGTACGGGGGGGTGGTAAAATGGTCAAAGGTGTCTCAGAAATCCTACCGCTTCGGCCTGAGCAGCAAACGTCACGGTGAACAGGTACCCGGGAAGTTACTTTTATCTATTTCTTCCGGCTACTCTGTTCGGCTACGATATATTTGGTAGTCGCCCAAGAATCAGCTCATGATGATGTAGCGCCACCCTCCCTAAACGCCCACAGATAGTAGCTAGTTGACTTTCCTTTTCCCACGAGGACGAACGCTCACCCCTCTTGCGTCTAGAAAACGGCTAGCAAGTTCTTCTAGTGATAATAATAGTAATAATGTCCTTCCCACTTAGCCTTCGAGTAAAGGAATACATATGCACATAAAGGTAATAGTCGGTGCTAGGTTTAAAGCGCCTCTTTATTCTTAAAACGTAGACGTAGATTCGCGCTAGATTTACCTCGCATCAATTTAAGGCACCGAGTTGTGAACGATAAGCAGGATTCTCGTTCTTTATATTGCTCGTCGTCATCTCACGCTTCTACCACTATTATAAACCATTTATCGTTAGTCTTACGCAGATAATTAAATCTATGTCTCATACATTCCAGTGTTAAACAGTAGCCTTGCTATAAGATTTAATTGTAATGAGTGTAATTCCTAGTATTTTGCGCTTAATTTGTGTTAACACTTACACGCGCATACCGAAGAATAGCGACCGATGGTAAAGAAAGTAGAACAAGCCTAGAATGAGAACCGATTTCAAATGACATAATAGAAACCAATGTTGAGCCAGCAACATACCCTCCGAGATCTCACCAATATCTCATTCGCTAACAAACCGAGGTTTGGGGATCGTAATGATTGGCTTCTGCCCGACCGTTATTCGCCTTCTATTAACTTGCTCATCCACAAAATTTCGGGTAAACCTGTTAACAAACACGGACCTAGTCCAGGCCCTGGGTTGTTTTGGTCCCTCACGTGTTATGTAGCCCGAGCTTAATGTGATAAGGAAGGTATATTCATTCCTTTGGAACGCGCTTGAGATGGACAGGATGATTAAGTCGTCCTACTTACAACCAACAAGGCTCTTTTTGTCTGAGGCCCTGAGTGTCATCGCTTTGCCGGCTTTTGTAGGTTCGAATCGGGTTCCCTCATCTGGGTAATCTGAACGTAGGACCAAGATATGTCTTTCCTTGGTTGGGTCTTCCGGATCTAAAAGACTCGGCAGAGCGACGTCCAGATACCACCCGCAAGACATCACTATCTTGTCTATAACAGGTTGGCTATCCCCAGGGGCTCGGTCGACATCCGGGTTATTCGCTAGCACTATCTTATCCCAGCCAGGGCTTTCCTCCGCTATATGATTCAGGGATACAATCTTTTCTCTATCTCTCGCAGGGTCTTCGCTGTACACGCTGTGTCCCCTGGCTCCAGTTGTGCGACCCCAATGAATGCCATGGCTGGGAGAGCCCCAGCGGCTCTCGTAGCCGGGAGAGTCACGGCGCGGGATGGTTCGGGGTTGTGACTGTCGGTATCCATGATATGCCTTGTTCAGGTCTTTATCGTCGTAGAAGTTCACCTCTAGCTCTCGTAGTGCTTCTGGGCACTTCTCCATCTATCCGTGTGCAAACTGCAGCAGGCCTTTGGACGTTGGTTTTGTCTTCTCGTGTTTACAGTGAAACTCCAGGCGGAATAGCACGTCCAAGAAGTCACACCCAAACAATGTACACTCGCTAATCAGAGCTTTCCACCCAGGCTGGGACAAATCCTTTCTTATGATATCCTCGGTTTTCGGGCATAGGGCACTTCGCAACTTATGGTCCTCAGCAGCGGACCCTGATGATGGGGTACTTCTGCTTGAGGGTGGCGGTGAGCGTGGTGCATCCCTTGGTGCTGGGGTACTTCTGCTGTTGGAAGATGGCGGTGCGGGGGGTGCATCCCCAGGTATTGGTGGTCGTGCTTCACCCTGTTACGGTATTACATAATACCTCCACATATTTATGTGCATATATACCCCTAGCTTCCCGTTCTCTTCTGACCTTGCCTCTTCTTCCTTAGATATCGTTGAATCTAGATATTTCATCCTATCAGCCCTGACCAGCGCAGCTGCAGGCCTGATTGTCACACACCCTCCCGTTTGATCGGATTAGTCTGGTCATTTGAGGCCGCCGGGGCTGTTGTATTCTCTGGTGACGCCACCGGGGTGGTTGTATCTGTTGGTGCCGTCGATGGGGTTGCGCTGCCCTCCTTCGAGGGCGGCACGCTGCTGTTGGGAGCTGTGCGAGGAGTCTCCACGGGGCCCCCTTCGCTACTAGAGCTGCTCGGGATCCCGCCGGCACTAGCAGTGTCTGCACCGCTCATGTTCACATCTTCGACGAGTGGTTCGCCTTTGGACTCGGCGTAGCGTTTAAACTTATTAAGCGCGGTTGTGAAGGTTCGCTTGCTTTCGGACCATTACAATGGGTACGGTGTATCCTCTTCCTCAACACCTGAGGTGTACTCTTTGTTGGCAAGTTTAAACAAGGTATCCAGCAAGTCTTTGGTAATAGATTCCGCAAATGAATGCTCAGAATCTTTCTTGAACCGTGTCGACTGTCGGATCCTTTTTTGCTCTTCGGCTTCGTTGAACTTCACGCTTTGGTCTTTTCGGAAGCCATTGTTACTTGAGAAGAGCTGTTCTGCTGGGTGCTTTGGCTGCAATGTGAAATCAAGAATGAAGCAGTTAGACGCGAGCTTCATGCTAAAAGGTTTAACAAAATCTTGTGCCTTTTAAACACGTCTCCGCACCAAGCTGTTGATGTTATCTACCAAAGGTTGGATTTAAGAGTCCCCACAACCAGGTATTGGTAGAATAGGTGACCCCAGTTTTTGGATTTAGGTTCACTACGCGGCTGCAGGGCAGAAACATGTTTCTTGGACCTCCCAGAACACTGCCTAGCCTAGTCCTAGGAGTATGAGGTTTCTTGCGTACCTCACAGAAATTTAGTATGTTTTCATTTATGTTCCTTCCACACGAAGCGCCGATCTTCGACCCCCCGTTTGTCTTCCTCGACTTGGCCAACGCGTCTCCATGGCAGACGCAAACCTCATTGGGATCATCAAGGTCCCATTGTGTGCTTTCACCTACCAGCCTGAAGTAGATAGGGAAGAGTCTCTGATTATCGTGAAGAGACTGGCCAATGTATTTCGCAGGACACGTTGTAGGTCCAATCAATGAGAGAACCACGTGCAAGGACGTATCAACAGTAAGACCTTGGAAGCAATACTAGCAGCTCTCGGCCGCACTAAAGAACAGCTCAATTCAACTGTATACGCGGGGGATTACCCTCAGGTCTACCTAAAGAGGCAAATCCTTTGTCTTGATGGAAGACATAGGCTGGCGGCAGCGAAGAGGGTTTTCGGTAACGGGGTATGGTGGCCGGTGAAGCTCTACACTACCCCGCCAGGTACGCACCATCGCGCCACGGTGGATCAGGAGAGACTGACGCAAATAACAGGACCGTGTTTTCTTCACCAGACAACATACTCCGACGGGGAGATATACCGCGGGAAGAGGCTCTGTCAGCTGGCCAAGCAAGACCTCCTGGCTCGAGAATGGACAGTGCAACTGTCATCAAGCAAGCAGCCGATTATTCGGCAGCTTTCCAGGAATATCGAGATTGTTAAAGCACTGGATAAACCCCTGCCTTATCCGGGGCTCTGGACGGGGTTGAGAATTGGCAACCTGCATAAATACCTTGCACTGCACTGTGTCGAGCAGATTCTCAACTACCTCGGCCACATAACATCTCCCACCCCCCTGCGGACCACCCCCCGCGGACCAGCGCGTTCTGACCCACAAACGCGTAATTCACCAACCACCAGGATTATGGTGATCCACCATCTACACCATCACTTTTGCATCTTTTTTTTCACAAAGCACACTATTTGAATCCTTATCTACTGCTGAATCTTATGATGTTATTTTACGACCGTCAAATAAAAGCTGAAGCCGCCATTTTGGCCATCCAACGCGGAGCTCCAGTCCGCTCGTCAGCCCTCGAATGGCAAATCAGTCGCTCGTACGTCAACCGACAAATCTCTGGCACCCCAACGCGGAATGAGAGCAGCGCTCTCCAACAGGCTCTCTCACCGTATCTCGAACATAAGCTGGCAAGCTGGGCCCTGGGGCAAGCACAGCTAGGGTATTCTCCGGCGGTCTCTAAGTTCCGTCTCATGGCCCAGCGGATGCTCCATGCCACCGGGGATGCTCGAGAATTAGGGAAAAATTGGGCATCCAAGTTCCTGTCTCGAAACCCGGAAGTCAAGATAATGAAGTCTCGTGTTATCGACTACAACCGAGTGAATGGTGCTACAGCGGCAAATATCAACATTTTTTTCGATTGGTGTGACGCCCCTGACGTGGTTAACCTCATGCCAGCACGCTGGTACAACGTCGACGAAATGGGAATCGCCCAGGGGGTTGGGGACTCCCATTGGGTGGTCTCCGAGGCCTCCGGCAACGTGGCTATGAAGAAAGGGGTCGAGAAGGGTGAATGGATAACTGCCCTAGAGTGTGTGAGCGGATCTGGTGAGACCTTGCCGCTGCTGGTGATTCTCAAGGGGGTTAACGTACAAGCCTAGTGATTTAGTAACCAAAATGAGGGCAAATTCACTGACTGGAGGTTTATTACGTCGCCCAATGGATGGACCTCGAATCCCATTGCGTTAGAATGGCTTCAACGTATCTTTATTCCTCACATTCGGGAGGTCCACGGCAATACATGGGTGGTTTTGGTGTGTGATGGCCACGACTCGCACACGAATGACGAGTTCCTAGCCACCTCCTTGAGAAACAAAGTATGGTTGATCTTTTATGAACCTCACTGTTCCCATGTAGTCCAGGTGTTAGATATGGGAGTCTTCAATTTGGTGAAGAAAAGGTTGAAGACCTTACTCCAGGAGACGCCCAGCGGCTGTCTGGGACTCAGGCCATCTAAGGAGGAGGTTTTGGAGTGCTACGAGCAGGCCCGGAAGGACACAATGATGCTCCTCAACATCAGAATTGCCTGGAAAAAGACTAGGATTGTTCCTCGCAACAGAGCAGAGGCGTTGAAGTCGAAATATGTGATTCTGGAGGACAAGGGGGTGGCCAGGGCACGCCAGAGGGACCCTAAGGCTTCTGAGCGAGCCACAACACCAGATTTTCTCGAGATGGTAGCTAAAACCATTGTCATAACACCCTCTGGAAGCCGGGCTTTGCGGGAGAGTGCTCGAAAGCTCGAAAGAAAGGACCCTTCCTTTGAGGGGCCCTCTAAGCGCTTGTTGGTGCGGAAGGCTGGCAAGGCCATGGATGTTCAGGCTGCTACCATTACAAATCTACGGGCCAAATGTGAGCTGCTTGAGGCTCAAGTGGCTAAAAAGGCTAATACCACTCAAAAAACAGTCAAACCAACACCAGGGGAACGATTCGTCACAATGGCTAACATAAGGGAGGCCAAAATGGAGCTGAGGAACAGGAGGGTCTATAGGGACTCCGCTGCAGGCGAAGAGGTCCCACAAGAGGTCCCTGGTGAAGATTTAGGGTCGGAATCGGATTCTGGGAGCTGTATTATGGTGAGAACACCACGACCTTAGTGTATTTAGCAACTGTGGTGGTTGTAGATGGCTTCATCTGAATGAGAGTGGTGTGGTGTGGAGTGGTCCGTGGGGGGGTGGTCCGCAGGGGGGGGTGAGATGTTATGCTAGAAACAGACACGACAAACCTTCCTACAATCTCTTGGGTCAAAAGAGATCTCAAAAGAAAGGGCAAGAAAGAGTTCAACCAATGGTGAAAAGACCAATCAGAACCTAGATATCAAGAAGTATACTCATACGCAGTAACTGAAAGAGATCTGATATCTTTTAAGAGGAGTACTTTACACAGACTTCTAGCGGCCAGATCTGGACATGGCGACTTTGCCAGATACTATGAACGCTTTGGGCATACAGACTCGAATGATCACTGCAGCTGTGGTGAGAAAAAAACACCACAACATATTTTCTTTTGTAAGAGGCTGGGAAAAAACCGGCTGCTGCCTAGGTACTCACTTAGGATAGCTTGTTTACAATACTTGGGGGAGAGGAACACGGAATGGGCAAAATTCATGGAGAAGAGCAAGTTTTTTTCAACAATCTGCCCCCGATAGATAGCTTTTCTTGAAGGACCAGATGGATGACCCAAGGTCATACCGCCGCAACAACGGACATGGGCCCGTGAGCGGGACTGACTGTACTTATTATCTTGAGACCTCCACAACCCTGCGATACAGAGGCTCTTGGAGGCGTGGTTTGCACTACTGAGGAGCTACCCCCCACGTTAAATACAAAACAAACATATGATTATATCTTGATCCAAGTGTCCGGCCGTAAGTTTGTTTTTAGAAGCAAGTCATCCGGCCTCCACACTCGCGAGCATCCCTTCTTGCCATCATACTGATATCTGCAGTTCATGAGGCCGCGCTGGCAAAGCCTCTCAGTCTCTCTGTCGTACCAGCGGCTCTGACACATTCCATATGTCTCATTACATCTCGTCACGCATTCTGGACAGAACATATGTCCTATGGACGTTAGCTTGCTTTAGAGAAACGGGCACATAACGTACCGCAAGGATTTATTCGCCATTCAGATGATTTGAGATAGAAAATAGCGCAGTTGGTTCCAACCCCGAAGACTCGAAATATGCCCCGGGGTCCGTGTTGTACATGTTGTGGATGAATGCAGAAACGCAAGTCCTCGGACCAAGGTATTGCAACTTCTAAGGACATTGCGTGCGATAGATGTTGGTAACTATCAGAATAATTACTGCAGCAAAGCTTATAAAGTTAACGACATGCGGCTGCCGGGTAGAAAAGCACATACGCAACCGCAAGATTCCAGAATGCAGCCTTGGTCTATTACCTTACCGCATAATTGACAGCAGTATTGATCATCGCCTGTCAGGTCAATGCATCGGCGCTTGGTATAGAGATAGGTAACCTCGTTGAGACATGGGGTGAGGTTTTTATACGTCCATGTTGCAGATGAAGCCAACGTAGGCCGTCCAAATGTGCACGGATAGTCGATATACAAGAAGTATCGAGGGTAAAGAAAGGGAGAAGAAGACCCGCACTTTCAAAGCGGACAATCTTGCTGTCTTATATGCCACGCATTGCCGCACTTACAATATTGCGGTCCCGACAAGCCCTGGCCCACGATAATACGACATAGCCGCCTAGTGAGTGCTCGTCTTGCGCGGAAGTCCTAGAGCCCGTTATTTACTCACCCCAATGGCTGCCGGGCCTGTGTAATGTTTTTCTTCCACTACCATCCTGCCTTTCGGGCGAACGAGAACGAAGCAGTGTTTGTCCGGGATGTTAGTTGGTCGCCTCTGAGCCAAAGCACTTGTGGAACAATCTCAACATCTGACCATACTCGTCGTTCAAAAACTCCAACAAGCTCAACAAACCCTTCAATGTCTCACCCAAGAAGGGAGCCACGCTATCAATGGTGATGATAATAACCTTTGCTCAACTGATTTCATCTCGTGGCGGGACTCGGCCAAGTCTGATTGTTTGCTAGTGACAAGTAGTCCTGGGCGAGGCAAGTCAGTCCTATCAAATTTGGTGCATCAGGATCAGCAGTAAGACCATGAATGTTTTTTTTTTTGCTCTGCGGACTTCATGGCCATCGCAGCTAACATCTTATGCGTTGAATTACTACTACTACTGGAAGGTGGGTGGTGATGGCCTTTAGAGGGGTGTGTTATAGGGCTTGAGCGGAGACTTTTAGCCACGTAGTATTTCAAGCTCACACCGAACTCTCACTCGTTTACACAAGCAACTTATAATGACCGTCATTCTCAATAACAGTCCTGCTATCTACCTAGCATATAAAGTCTTAACCCAAATAGCCTGCTAGGTACTAACGAGTATATATGTGTGCCTGTTGGAACAGGCTTGAACGATCAATCATAATACTCGAGTATGGGGTCAAGGTCATGATATTGTTAATGGTTGGATTTGGAGGTTTAGCTGGACCTGAAGGTCTGGCTAAGTGACCTCGCAATCTGGTATCTAATCACTTATCTAATCATACATGTGGGTCCTGGTATAGATGGTTTGCAGGCTGGAATCGCATGGATCCAACAGTGCCACTGTTCTTTGTTTAATCGTTTTAAGATAAGAACGCCCCTATACGTTGCCTCTTAGTAACTCAAGCTGTTACCACAACGACAACGATACTAGTTGTATCTGGTAGCTTAACCGTAACCTATTGAGTCGTCGTACCGAGAATGATGTTTATTGCAGTATCTGTTGTTTGGCTCCGGGTTATTGATAGAGATCGGTCGCTTAAATGCCCTTCGCCTGCTGTCGTGCAAAGATGGGCTCCGGTCGCGGTTATCTCACTTCCCTTTTGCGGAGAAGCTAAGGACTGTAGCAACCGTGTAGATGTAAAAATTGGAGTAGTCGTGGCCGGGAAAGTTCCGTTATAACGTGTTGTACTTGCGTCAGTCATACTATAAGATGTATTGGTATAGAAAGCGCTCGACGATAAGGACATGCAGATAGCATGCCGTCGAAGTTGAGGGAGGGAAGCTTCTTGTGCAGGCAAATCCGTTGTCAAGAGACCCGGTAATTCGGAGCTTGAATGAACCGTCTGCAGTGGGGGCGCATGATGTAGAGATGGGATGACTGCCAAAGCGGCAGTTTTAAAACACCATAGAAGCTTTTGCAAGCTGTATAAGTTCATGGTAACACGGAGAAAGATGACCTCGAAATAAGTGTAATGTGACACCATTTATATGTTTTCTAGGAGTCCCATTTTGGGTTCACCAGCAGCATGTAGACCCCACGCGTGCTTACAACCCATTTTTGAGTGGCCGCAAGCCTGGCTTTAGCAGGGACTAGGTCCGGAACCAGGGTCCGGGAAGTAGTCACCATCGATGTTTACTGTCACGGCGAGCGTACTGAGGAGCTGGGACATGGCCGGCAGCAAGCAGCTATTACTCTATTGACGAGGATATCAAGACTAGAGAGGAAAGGAAGAGAGAGAGAGAGAGAGATAGGTACAGTGGGAGGTTGCCCCTTTAAGGGGATCCTTTGGTCAGATCCTTCCCCTATTGGGAAGTATCCGCTTGTCATGTGGGAAGGTCTGTGCAGGCCGTCACATTTACTACCGAAAAGGAAGTTCTTTCTGGTGTAGTCGTGATGCTGCCGTACGTTGTAAGGCGATGAGTTGCGCTAATGCAGCGGTGCCTCGGTGGTACTGGCTAAGGGCCCTGCTGGCTTTTAACGCCTTGATGTTGTGGTTATACTGGGGGAGCTTAAGTTGCGTGACGCTGTTTCAGCTTATTATTCATCGAGGAGCAGCCAAGTGTAGACATACCCCGTAGCAGAAAGGTTCCCAGCCCTAGTTTGTGATCGAGTAGGGGGTTGTGAGAGAGAAGACGAAGTTGAACAGCCATTGAGATGCCACGCCGATAGCGACACCAGGCTCGCCAATACGGGCAGGGAATATTCTGGTGCAGTGTTGCTACTGTAGTCTTGGTCCTTGAAGCGACAGTGCGAAAGAGTTACTCGGACCTATATGACCAAGGCATCGGGCTCCAACTGAAAGTGTATGCTGCATTATCCCAATCGACCCTCTGCGACGCGGCTTCTACATGTACGACATAAAGCCAAAGGTTCGCACTCCCATTCGACGTTGCCCCCCTTCATCCTACGCATAACGCCATACGATACCAGCTGACTCGTTATTAGACCAACGAGGAGAAGCTTGCCGCCAGAGCTCGTTACAAACCATCCCTAAGCCCGATCGCCCCGAACTCTCCCTGGCCGACCGAGAGAATCCCCACGATATCGAGAACCGCCCGACACAAACTGCGGCCAAGCATGTCTCCCTTGTCAGCCCACCGCGCGTCAAAGAAGAAGGGGACAGTTATACCGACAGCTCTTTTGCCAACGACCTGTACGATATGGAGGACGTCGGGGTCTCATGCGTCTTGGGTGAATACTTGCAAATCACATCTCAATGGGTCGATCGCCAACTCGGGAAGCGGGATTGACCATTGCTGGTTGAAATGGAAAAAGAGAATACACATAGATTTCCTATCGCGCCTGTGTCCACCACTCCCCAACTATTCAGCTGCATTTCGCTCACGATGCCAATGCGGCCGGAACTTGTCAGTAAATGGCTCGCCGACATCCGTGTCCTGTGGCATCCACCACCACGTCAGCTCACCAAGTTCGCCCGGTCAACGTCCCCACCAGGGACGTGTTTTCCGCCCCGATACTGCACTACGAGACGTCGACATCTCAGCGAAAATAATCCAAGATGCACGACATGCAAACATACCATGACGGAGCATAAGCTTGGGTACCACACAATGGAAATAGCTCACCCTGGCCATCGGTATGTCGGGCCTCCGGGCATCAATCCTAGTCTCTGGCCACGGGTTATGGCCATCTGGTTGGCCTCTAGATCACATCGCCCTTGCCTTCAGGAATCACGCGTTGTGGCCTGCAGGTCAATGGGTTAAATGCGACAGAGCTCATAGGAGAGGCACGGCGACAACGTGGCCGTTCATGATGTGGAACCTTCACTGGCAGCGTGTCTGGCCCATGTTTTCAAAAAGGTTACCAGTAGGTGACTGGCGATCTAAGAAGTGCCAAGTACGGGAATGGAGGGCTGTTTTCCGCGGTGCCATCCTTTGGCAGCCTCTTAATTCCGGTCCTTGCCGGGGGACTCGACGTCTGGATGGCAGACCCGGTAGTGGCGCGTGAGGGCGTCGGCGCGGCTGAATGTCTTGTCCTCCGTGCAGAGGTCACAGCGCATATTGGGCTTGCGCGGATTGTGACTGGTGTTCTCGTGTCGGGTAAGATCGTAAGGCCGGGAGAACACCGTGCCGCAGGGTTTCCCTGTGCTCGGGTTCATCTGCATGCAACGGTGCGGGGGCGCATTGGCTCGACGATGTCCCTCGCGCCTGGGCTTCTGGAGAAGTTCCGGCGTCTCGAAGCGCCGGATGCAACCAGGGCACGTGCAAATGTACGTTTCTTTGTCAGCCGCTGGTCTGCTCGGCTGCTGTGAAAGTACGTTGCTGCTGCCAGCGTCCGAGACACTGGCCACAGGGAAGCCTCGGAGGATGGGCTCGGCTGCTGTGTCCGTACTTACGTCGCCGAGGTCGATTAACAGACTCATTTTGATCCCAGACGAGAGACCGGATTGATAGATCTCCCACCGATCACCACAATGAGGGCAGAAGTCTTCTCTTTCTATGTTCACCTCACGGTCAAAACATTCTCTACAGAACCAGTCTCCTAAAGCAACGTTAGTCTTTTTAAGATTGAGACCAGTAACACTAACAGATGCGATACCACAATCCAGGCGGACAGTTGCGGTCATAGCGCTGTCATGTACACCGCAGCAAGTGCCCTTGACTTGATAGTAGAAATCGCTCAAGTCTTCGCCGTGAGTCGCAGTGGGCGGGGTGCCCTCCACTCCCTCATTGCTCGCAATCCAGCTGGTATCTGTAGCCGATTAATAAAACGGGATGACGCGAGGGCTTTGATCCAAGCTACCTTGTGTAAGCTGTGTAGGCTTTGTTGTTGCGCTACTAAAGGTGCCACTTCCACCCTCTGACGTCTCCTTCGGAGTTTCCGGCACTGCCTTCACAGACACTGGGTGGGCATAATGCATCCTGCTATTAGGCAAGAATAAAGGGCTGGGGAGGTTGTTAGAGGGCACGATGAGATTGATGCTCTAGGATTAGTCGTCGCTTATTGTAAATACATGAGAATAGGCATTCGCGTATAAGGGAGAGCTAAGTAGATAGCTGAGTAATTGGCACAGGTGCTTGGAAGGGCGGAGTAGTGGAAGGGGGACTAGGGCAAGGGAGGGGTAGTGGAGGGAGGAGTAATGGAAGGGAGAGCCCATTCCACAAAGCGGTCAGGCCCGAGCACCAGACCTTGTTTATGATAAGTAGCAAAGTGGTTTCCTTATAAACTTATGCATGCCATCAAACCTCCCTACAACCACATCGTCCCGGCACACGATAGCGACTTATCTACCATGATCTGTTACACTTTGTTTTTATTAGCACTCGCTGCGGGAATACCCCCACTAGCAGAGTTTAAACTAAACGTTACCGCAATCAGCGCGCAAAATGGGGTTTCTCTATTTGAATGCTGGCAGATGGATGGACCGTTTCACGTCCCGGGAGATCTCAGCTCGAGCAGTGCTGCGATGGTTACCATAGGCGAGGTGTCACTTGTCAACTACACAGTTGTCCCCCCCGGGTTCGACAACGGCTTGCAAAACGCTCCTTATAACCAGTAAGACCTACTATCATCTGCTGAGTTTTAGTGGTAACCTAGAGGCTTATAGGTGGATTGCCGTTATCCACGGATTTGTCCAAGTCATACTGCCCCACAACGAAGCGTCAAGTCTTCTTGTTGTCGGCGGCCAGTACAGCCTGATATTTGCAGCAGATACAGCAGATGTGAGCCACACAGGCCATATCAGTCGATATCCTGGTACCACCGAGAATATCGTTCTTCAAATTCCGACAAGAGATGGTCAGCGTCCGGCATATTTGACTTTACACGAGGGCCCCTGTAACTCACAAGACTTTGGGGCCTTGCGGGAAAGGGTTAATGGATGAGAGAAATCCGCGAGAAGTTGGACCAATGTTTACAGCCTTTACGGATCTCCTTCTGGTTCCCTCTCTGCCATCTTACCTAGCGATCTGGGTAAGGCATGGGGATAGCCGGTATCCAAGAATGGGTAGGGACATGTCGGACGAAGACCTATGGTGGTGACTGTAGGCGACCCATCACTGACTGGGAAGTCCACAGACCTTTTGGGCAATACTGTTCCTATCGCCAAACTCCCAGGATGCAGCACCGAGTAGTTTTGTCACCAGCTTCGTCGCCGTGCCCTTGATCACGTACCTGGCATCTGCGGCGTTCATAGTCTACGTCTGGGGCCGCTCAGCTTGCAGCTTCAGAAGATTCGTTTACGACCAGATCCCAGCGGTGACACGGGCTGTTTATGGAATGACGGTCGTCGCTCTGAATCAGCTGGTGGGCGTAGCCAAGAGGGTCTCGGACCGCTCATCTCGCGGCTTCAGACGATTCGTTTACGACCAGGTCCCCTCGGCGACGTGGGCTGTTTGTGGAAAGACGTTAATGGCCTTAGCAACGTGCGTCTACTACCCGGCCGTAGCAGCCATGGCTTTCGGAGGATTCGTTTACGACCAGGTCCTAGCAGTGACGAAGGTCGTCTGTGGAAAGACGAACATGGCTCTCGGAAGGTTCTTTTACGACCAGGTCCCAGCGGTGACGAGGGCCATTTGTGGAATGATGGCCATGGCTTTGAAAGAACTGATGCGCGTAGCCAAGTGGAAGAAGAATACACCGTGTGACCAGGAAAATCCTAACGGTTTAGGTAATGAATACCTACTTTGATAGCATACAACAGGTAGTCAGCACTTGAAATTTACATTTTACACGATGCCTTTCGTGTTCCTGCTGGCTGATAGGCTGAAATTCTCCCTACGGCCTCGCAGACACCACCTACTAGGTTGTATTTAAGGAGTCTTGCATGTGTATTTTTTTCGCGATGATGATAACTCATCAGGCGGTACATGCAGCGGAAATAGAGGATTGCCGGTCTGAAAGCCGCTGATTGCCACATCACCAATGTCATACACCCAAGAGAGCAACTGGCAACCCCTTTCTATTCATTCCAATCCTAACTCTAGCTACTTGAGACGTCTGCACATATCTCAAGACTGTATCACAAGCTTTTCCCAGATGGTTCGAACAGTAGGAGAAGCACCGCACTACATTAGGGCGCGATGTAAAACAACACCGCGAGAAATGCCAAGTCACCCTTTCCACGGCGTCACGGGGATTTCCTTCCACTGCGAACCATCATCCAATAGTTCCTTTGAAGCATTGCTCCAGTCTTCCCGGATGCGCTGAGCTCTTGCGCCGTATCGGGGCAAAATGTTGGCCTTGAAGGGGCTGGGCATTGTAAACAAGCCTTTTGCCAGATCGTTCATGTCGGGAATTATCTCCTGCTTGGTTTTTTCGTCAATTGCCCGTTTGAAGTCAAAAGACCAGAGCAAACGCGAGATAGCCAGGAAGAGAAACTGGTCCACGAGATTCGTCGCTAGGCACATGCGGCGCCCCATCCCAAAGGCATAATGGTCGCGCTGGGTGACATCTTCGTTCCGCGCAGACTCGTAGGAATTCTGGTTATCGCCTGCCCATCTGGTGGGATCGAAGTTGCGCGGATTCGGATGCCTCTTGGGGTCGTTATGGATGGCCCTGGGGAGAGGATGAGCTAGGAATCATGTATGAAGGTGTCCGGACTCCAACTTACCACACATTGTAGATAACGGATGCATTTTTCGGGAACCTATAGCCCATATATCTGTCCTCCACGTCGACGCTATGCGGCACACCGAGAATGGCGGTAGGCATCCAACGAAGGCTTTCTTTGATGCACCCGCGGACGTAGGCTAGACTCTCCCAATCGTCCAAAGAGGGGAGGCGGTCTCCGCACACACGGTCTATCTCAGCTTGGGCAGCCTGAGCGACATCGGGAAAGATAACCATGGCCTGGACAAAGCCCAACAGGGTGGCCATCGTTGTCTCCGACCCAGCCTGAAGAAGTGAGCCGGCGAAATATCCCATTCGATCATCGGATAATCCTTCACTCTCTTGGACCTCGGCGAACATGGCTGCGGCGCATGGCTAAGGTCGTTTCTAGTTAGCTTGTGATCCCAGTGGATAGATTCTCAGTATGTACCTTTACTGTACCTTCAAGCCGTTGCTTCTTCACCTCCAGATACTTATCAATATACAGTTTGCGCTCTTGTATGTGTAACTCCTTTGCACGCCGTCTTACTGGCAAGAGAAAGTCCGGTAGATACCTTAAGATAGGGAATATGTTCAGAAAGCCGGCCACCTAGTGCGCATGCATGTCAGTTTCCTATTAGCTCTGGCCTGGGGTGGGAGGATGAGCGTTCTCGGGTCTGCCTCGAATGACAGCAAGGGATGTAGGGCTGCGTATTCAACATTCTAAGAATCGAGGGAATGAAGACTTGCCTGTGACCCTGACATCTGTGAGAAGTTCTCAAGGTGCTAGAAGATCTGTTAGCTTAGTTGGAAGGTCCTCAGCAGGATGTAGGACGCATACATAGAACAGTTTTTTCATGAATGCATCGTCTGAACCTGGGGTACGATGGCCAAATACCATCTGAGTGGTAAAGGAACAAGTGAACCTCTTGAGATGGTTGCTGAAGTGCTCAGGCGTCTCCAAGAATCCGAGAAGCATCGCTCTGCTTTCGAGATCCTGGTAGGCTAGGAATGTGCTTTGGATGATACTATCGTCCAACACTTTCCGTGCAAGCTTCCGAGCGAGTTTCAAGGACTTGTTGTATGTCTTCACACCAATGACGTGTCAGTCTATCGCTGTCTTTGATATCCCCATCCAGGTAAATCAATGCTTCTGGGCTCGCCAGTCGTTCAACGTACCATGTGCACTACGCGATGACCTCCACTCAGAATGTCGTGGGCAAGGTAAGAATCCGGCCTTGATGAGTAGATTGCCCCTCTTCTCTCCAGGAGGTCTTTCATGGCGTGTTCCGACGAGAGGACTATGAGTGTTTGAGTACCCAGAATGAGCGAGTATATTGGTCCGTACTGCTTTGCCCACTTCTCGAACTGTAAGTGACCTTTCTCCTTCGGCATCTGGAGGAGGTTACCGATGAATGGCAACGTAGGGGGCCCAGGCGGGTAGTCCCCGGGTCTACGGCCCAGTCCGCTGAGACGATAGACGAGTAGCGAAAGGCCGCCCAGAAAGACGGCCAGACCAAGCAGATGAGTTGAGCTCATTGTGTTGATGACTTGCAAGGGAGCCAGATACGGTGCGTATAGGGGATATGGAGACAGATTCAAATATCCTAGAGCTCAGCACAAGGCCACTAGAGTACACATGTGTATTGTGAGGACATCCCCACCTGTGTTTGAAGAGAGATGGCTAGGGAAATCTGAGCCCTCCGCGTGGGGATCGAAGCACCCCCATTCCCGAACAGAGAAGGACACATCAAACCCGCGGTTCAGTGGCTTTGAGCCAGTCGCAAGCCACCGGCCTCTTAGACGAGCATGAGTATTTGAAGATCTGTACTTGTTTGCTTCTGTTGTACCTGTACATCGTCGATTGCGTATCAACGTACTGTCCCTGAACAGTCCCAGCCTGGGGTGGGCGGGAATTGAAGCCGTAGCTACGAGACACCAAACTCCCATGCCACTATTTCCAGGGCACGAGCGGCTCGGGACACCCTGAAAGAGTCACCACGACGTTACGTCGCCATCAAGCATGTAATATGGTTCGAGGCGGAGTAAGTGACGGAATCGCCATGCTACATCGTTATGCGAAGCGCGCCCAGTCACAGTGTCCGGTGTCCAGTGGTGGGTAAGCGTTAGACGCTGATTACCACTTTCGTCCCGTGATACAAGGACACGGATCGTTGGAGCAAGGTTATGCTAGGTCTGCAGGACGGCTCGTAGGGCAACGGTGACATTAGGGGGTTAACAAATCACACCAAGGCTGAGCAAAACCGTGATGCTTGTACGACTCGTCGCGTCCCATAACCGATCATAAAGAAATAGTTAGCTTGACCGCTACAATTCGTCTGGTTGAACTGCTGGACACCGTGGTGGCATCGACAACCAACATGACACGGTTCGGACCGTCCAGTGTATGTATGATCGGTATGCAAGCAATGTATTTGCAGGCATTTGCCACCAACATCTGACTCTTCTTTAAGCCTCATTATTTGGAGGAACCCCACAGGGCTGCTTGTGAACGGCTGTGCTGCATCGGATTGAAAGATCAGAGTATTCATCGATACAACGTCAACCGCCAAGCTATTACATTTCGGACCTACTCAAACTGCTCAGGGGTGCGAACATACCGTCTTTGGACACACCACCCCCCTCTCCCCCTCCCCCAAACCCTTCCTGCATATTAATTGAAAATTGATGCCATTCAGCCTTGGCAAACGTGCTCAAGTACTACCTAGGTCTACGATACATGGTAGAGTACTTCACACCGAGGAAATAAAGCGTCGAAGCATACGGAGATCATGCGCAGCCTGGTATGCAGTAGGTCGCGGAGTAGTTTTCTGAGACTCGTGTCAGCCCCCGCTGCCTTGCCATCAAGCCAGGACGGATGTCCCAAGTTCCAGCTCCACAGCCCCCCTGGGTGCCATCGAAACGACGTCGGTAAACGAGTGCCTGCTCTTCGTAGGATCCGCCCCCCCTGAACGTACCGCCAAGCTCTTATGCAGTGCCTCCAAAAGCTGTCACTCCACTGCTGAACTTTGTGTTCCCAACCGGTCCAGCTACAGCCTCTCTGAATGAGGGGTTAAATCTGTCCAGTGTCCTCGCAAGCATGTGATGTTTTCAGACGTCCATGCCCAGTGGGCAGAGCAGCACGACCCTCACGTAGCATCGCTTGCAGCAGTTGGTACGCCTGCGTCGAATAGATCTCAGTTTGGGTATATTGTGGTCCCCGTAGACGACTGGCATCGGGATACAACCCAGGTTCGCATTGGGGGCAGCCTACGAGGAACGTACGTCCAGCGGATGCAATGCATCCGTTCCCCCACTGCTACACTATGCTCACTCGAGGAGGCGAAAGCCTCGCGGCTACCTAGGTATCTACCTCCGGGTGAATGTCTGGCATCCGACGTCCGATCTCGCACAACCGAGTCTCCGGGGCTATGGGCAGTACGCGCTGTGACCCGAGATATCCCCAAGGACTCAGCTCAGCGAGTACCTGGTCTGGATGTAGATGTTTTAGACGAAGTCTGATTTCGGGCGAGAGCCTTGTTTGTGGACTGTCCACTTCAGGTCCAGTGCGGACACCTCAGCCGTGGGTTGTTGGAGGTCTGGTTTGAAGCATAGAAGTCAGTGTTCACTAGTCACGAACACATTATGGGCACAAGAGCACGCAGGACGTCGCATGAGTATTGAACGCTTAGCTACCTCCTAAAGTTACAGCCAATTCGTCAGTCCTCGAAGCCCTAATGATATGAACTCTAGCTGAAGACTACCAAATACAACGCGAGAACACACACTGTTTTGCCACATACAATTTGAACTCAGGGTTGCCGTAGAGTTAGCGTTCCACCTTACTGCCTCGATCTACACCGAGCGCTCATAACGTGCTCATTATGATTATGATGTGAAACGGGGAAAGAGATATGTTCCAATCACCAACTACCTAGGTGTGTAACCATACGCAATATCCACCAACACGTGTTGCCTTCGAGGTCGTATCTCGAATCGTTGCTTCGGTACTCAGCGGAAACGGCAGCCAATACAGGCGATCAAGAATAAGATGGACCACGATTAGCCCCTTGGTGGAGAACAGTGGAGAGAAGCTGCTTTGGGGACAGCAGCCTACCAAGGACAGGGGCAGCATTCAGGACGGCGACTCCAGTTCTTTCCACAGTTCTCCTCGGGGATGGAAGGCGAGGTAGGGACCGTCGTGTCGCGCGGTGAAGATGTCCTCCAGCTGGAATTCGCCCAGCCTCTCCCTACCCGTGGGGCCACCCGCCATGCCGCCCCCAACTTCACCTAGTGAGCCGGAAGCTGGCTCAAAGTCAAAGTACCATAACATTCTTGCAATGACGAGGCTGAGTTCTAGGTAGGCCATGGGCTTCCCTGCACAGGAACGAGCACCGACTGAAAAGGCCGCAAAGGCATCAGACGTGTGCTTGCCCCCCGCAGTATGCCCCTCGAGCCACCGCTCCGGCTTGAAAGCGAAGGAGTTAGGGAAATATGCCTCATTGTGATGGATCGCATATGAGCTGACACCGAAGATGGTGCCTTTCGGTATGACATGCCCGTCGATAACCAGAGGCTGGTCGTCGTCCGGGTCTTGTGTTCTCCATAGTGTCCCTGGGACTGGGGGCGACAAACGCAGGGCTTCGTCAATGCATGCACGAAGGTAGTGGCAACTCGCCAACTGAGGCCCGCCTTTGATGTCCTGCGTGCATGTGAAGGTGGAACGGATCTCGTTGGCCAGCTGTTGGTAGCATCGAGGGTTCCGAGACAGATAGAAGAGAGTGGCGGCTATCGTCGTCGCCGTGGTGTCTGACCCTGTACACATTGGACACTTGGTCAGCCCATGCACCAAGTACCGCACCAGAGTGGCAAGACCTACCTGCAACGACAAGGAAATGGGCCTCCCACCAAAGCCCTCCCTTTCGCACATTGTCTGGGTCCGGATCGAGCTCGGATATAAAGGAATAGAAGTCGCGTTCGCCGTTCGTGCCCCGGGCCATACGAGATCGTATCATCCTATCCAACAGCTGGGAGTATTTCTCCCGAGACTCAAAGAAGACCCGGTCCCATATGCTATAGACCCAGAACTTTGAGAGGAAGAAGAGATGGTGCCAGACGTTCCCCCGCCAGAGTCCAAAAGCCAAGGCGTTCGATACAAAGTGATTCTCGTCGCTCGTCTGGGCTTGAAGGGCGTAGCCGAAGCTGAGCTGAGTCACAATGTCCAGAGCAAGGTACCTGGCTCGCTCTGACATGTTGACTGGCTTGGAAGCTTGCGAGGCATTGAGAATTTGCTTCAGGTACACGGTAATATGCTCGGTCAGGGATGGCTCGAAAGACTTGACAGCTCGCTCCGTCAGAGCTGGAGAGATCATCTTCCTCTTGGCTTGATGCACCCTTTTATCGCGGGCGGTAAAGACATTATCTACATTGTTCCGAACGGCAGACCCGTAGGTATGCGACTTGGAGACTCGACCGTTCTGGTAGATTTCTGCAGAACTCAGCTTCTGTTGCATGCACGTGGGGGAGGATATGTGAATGGAGCCAACTTCTTGCACTGCAATGGAAGACTCACCTCTATAAGCCGTCACAGTATTGAAGACCAGTCGATTTGGCCCGAGTCGGACGACCGATCCTATTACGCAGTCAGACTCTCGCAGTCAACAGGCTGTAGGGCTGGTGATCACCGTATTTGTCGTGGGTTCTCAGGATTTCCAGGTGCAGGTCCTTCTTGAAGGCGTGGACGCCAGCGAACCAATCGGTGACCCTGGCAAGCGGTGGCCCGGGGAATTTGCGTAGGGGATGCAGGAGTATGAGGTAACTCGCGTAAATGAGAACCTACGGAGTCACGGTGAGAATTCGAAGTCTGCGGCGCGCTGAGTTGACCTTACCGAGGAAGTAATGAGAGAGATAGCATAAGCTAGGCTACTGCTAGTGTAGTCCAGGAGAGCCATCTTGCCCTCAAGACTATGACAGAGGCTGATACTGAGTTTGATGTTAGGAACTGCGGTCCAAGTTCGCGTTTGCAGGGTCACAGACTCACAGCTGGGAAGAAGAATGTCAAAAGTCTCGGGGTAGGTACCTAAGTGATCTGTTTCAACGTACCCCTCTGATTAGTAAGAAGATACTTAGTACATTGACCTGTCAGTCCTACATTAGGTGGGTGTGTATATTGACCGTCGAAAAGCTGGGCTGTGCGACGTGAGAATAGGACCAGCCCCCGGATGGTCCCCGGATGGTGGATGGCCAGAACCCTTGGTCGCAGTGTCGCGTCGGGGCACCGTTGCATACTCCTTATTTATAGCATTAGGTAGCCCCCACCTTCCCCTTCAGTCGAAGGAAGACGATGCATTGAGTTGCTGCAGCCTGATTGCTGGCCTTGCCGGTGTTGGTGGTGATTGAATATATGCTGTGGTACCACACACGAAACATGGGGAACCACACCTGTCAGCCAGTGCAATCGTGCTGCAGGTGCTGCATAACCTCAATGCCCACACGTGGGTTGGTGTTGGGCCTTGGCAGCTACATGTACTGACTTGGACGAATCCTCCAAGAAAAGAGGCTGCAAATCTGAAGTCCAGCGTGTCTGGATTGAACTTAAATACTGGCTGGACTGTTCGCAGATGTCAATGCCAGTGCCACTCATTGCGTCCTCTTCCCTGGCAGAAACTTGATAGGCCTTCGACGCAACAACTAGGCACGATGGACCTGGGATTGCCGCAAAATGACAATGCGCTGGGCTATGGCATAATCACTCTGCTTTTCGTCATCTCGACCGTCGCAGTCCTCCTCCGACTATATGCGAGGTTCATTGTACTTCACCAGCCTTCCGTAGGAGACTGTGAGTGTCTCCCACTCCGGCGATTGCGGATTGTTGAGCTAATCGTGGTCGCCAGTCTTACTCATTGGCGGATATGTGTGTCTTTCTTTGCACCAGCAATCGAACACCCCGATCTCAAGCTAACCGAATCTCTAGGCCTTCTGGACAACTTGTGTGGCTCTGGCCTATGGTCTGGGTCATAACCCAGGTCTCTTCGTCCATGCGTCGGAATTGCCCCATAACCCTGCGGTACTGGTCTCGTTCCTTCATGTAAGTAAAACAGACCTTGGGAAGCAGGATGACATGACTGACAAACACGACCCAGACTGTGTTCCTCTTGAGCCTGCTCCTGAGCATTTACGTTCCCCTCCTCAAAGCGGCCATCATGTGCGAATGGCTTCATATATTCGTTCCGAAAGGCACTCGAAACTTCGTTTTTTGGGCCTGTCACCTGGTGCTATGGTCAAACGTCGTCTTCTATTTTGTCATCGTTGTCCTCGAGTGCATCGCGTGTACTCCATTGGAATACAGGTCTGTACTTCTCCTCCCACCTCCAGTGAAGCTGACGCTCCCACTTTCACCCGTAAACATACTGACTAGATCATGCAATAGTTGGGACAAGAGGATAGTCGGTGGCCATTGCAACATCTTCGACTCCGCCTGGCTTGGAGTCGTCACATCTGGGGTGAACCTGCTGACCGATATCGCCATACTGATCATCCCACAGAGGGTTATCTGGAAGTTGAACATGTCCCGGGCGAAGAAGCTCGGTGTATCGGTCATTTTCGCGATAGGTGTCCTGGGAGTCATCGCTGCTGTTGTACGCACGGTCTACATCGTCAGGTCGGCGGGCGAGTACACCACGGACTACACCGTATGTCATCTCTCTCAGATCCTCCGTCGTTCTTGCGCGAATAGACTTTCCGCTGACTTGTCATTCGGCAGTTTGGCTTCTCTTCTGTAGTCCTTTCCGTTCTGGCTGAGGGCACCTGCGTGATCCTGGTCATGTGTATACCAGCTGCCCCAAGGGCAGTTGCTGCACTGCCCAACATGGTATCCAGCATGCGCTCCTGGGCCGGTAACTCGGTCGAGTGGCTTCGTGCATCGACAAGGCCCAGTACTCGGTCGGCCTCAACGCGATGGGGACGCAGCCGCCCCTTTGGTTCATCCAAAGGCAGTGACGAGTACGCCAACCTTGACGAGCACCATCTGACATCGCTCCCTGCATCGACTGTATCTACGAATGCGCAGCATCCCAAGTCAGACAACATGGGTAGAGGCCAGTGGGGTGGTATTGTGAGAGAGACGCAGTTTGATGCCACAAGCAGCGAGGCAGATGGTACCAACACAGCGAAGGATCGGTTCGAGCGGCAACACCCATGGGCGGATGGGGTCTAGTATGGGATCGTCCCATTACCTACAGTAGGCCAAGTGTCGCTCTGTCGCGAATCGCTTTGGCCAAGTGCGGGCTCACAGAACGCTGCAATATGGATATTGGATTGTATTAGTAGGTATAGCTCGGGAGTCACTAGTAGCATGATATTTCGAGTCATCAGTTCTCAAAAAGGAGCATTCGGAGTACGTTCGTCTGCTTACGTTGAATACCGTCCAACCTACCTTAATTATGAACCATTGCTGGAGCAGCCGGGGAAAGCCGGGAGTATCCAAAGGATAACCTTTGCGGCCATGTGGGCGTACTGGTCTCGTTCGTGGCTTGTCGATGATCGTGAGGTTCTACGCGTCAGATTTGAGCCAAATGTCTGTGTGAAGCGTGTGTGTTTCTCTGACAAATCCATCCAACTGTGCCCAGCTGGTGACAGGCGACGACGGAAGTGACTGGGGATTTTCATGGGGCGAGGCTGGAATGGGGCCTAGCCACAGCGCTACAGCGCCACAGCAGCGCGCACGGCTTACAATTACCAGTTTGAATTTAATCCCGTTAATCACCACATGCATAAAACCCCCATTCTTTTCTATTGAAATATGCATCGCAAAATGCCGCACCGTAGCAACTAGATATCGTCTAAGTGCACTTAAATCCTAGTTTAAATACTGTAAAAAAAAGGTTAGTTTAAGCGAGGTAAAAAGCAGCTATATCCGCTGCTACTTATACCGGTAAAAATATAACTAATAAAAATAACCGGTTTAAATTAAAAGCGTTAAGTTAATTTCGTACTTTTTAATCTTTTTGCCTTAATAAACCTAGATTATGAATAAGTTTATTTTAATATTAGCCGATTTGTAATTTAAGGCTTTATAGCGATTAAAGCCCTTTATAATAAAGTATATACGATATATTTATAACGTTATTGATTAATAATTATACGTTTAATCGACGCTTTATAAGTTGTTGAAAGTTATTACGGCTTAAAGTAATTAATTAAACTTTTTAAAATTTTTATATAACGCGTAATTATTCGTCGTTAACGTAAATTATAAATATATATATAATAAGTATTGTGACGGCCTGCACAGACCTTCCCACATGATAAGCCGATACCTCCCGATAAGGGAAGGATCTGACTGGAGGATCCCCTTAAAGGGACAGCCTCCAGCTGTACCTAGCTTTCTCTCTCTTTCTCTCCTCTCTAATCTTGATATTCTCGTCAACAGAGTAATAGCTGCTTGCTACCGGCCTTGTCCCAGCTCCTCAGTAAGCTCGCCGTGACAAGTATATTTTAGAAATTATAATTTCAATTACGTTTTATATATAAACTAAGCTTTTATATATTAAAGTATTAAAATTAAAAAAACCGTTATTTAGTTCGTTATATTACTTTTTAAACTATCTTTATATTTTTTATAATAGTTTTAAGGTCGGCGGTAACGTAAAATACGTAACTTTTATTTTATATAAAAAGGCTATATTTTAAGCCCTTTTAATCGCTATAAATCTGTAAACCTTCCGGTCGTTCTTTACGTCAAAAGTACCTATTATATATGTTTACACATAAAAAGTACATACATCGCCTTCGAGCTTTAGCTAGGCTCAAGGGGTAAAGCGACGTGCCCCGCAGGAGCACGTAACGCACGGAAGATCTGCATTTTATAGAGGCAACAATCCCTCACAATCCCGGCTATCCGCACCGTAAAAGACGCCTCGCCTAATAAAGCCAAACAGCAATACCAGCACAGGCAGGATGGTCCCATTACGCAGGGTGAAGCATCACACGAGGATCTAAGGTATGGGCTTTTTACCCGCGGTTGCGGGAGCTGCCGACGGCCTGCAACGGCAGTTAGTATCATCGCTATGCGAGTTCCACAGTCACATCGGAGGCGTCAAACTCAATCACTGGGCAAAAGCCTTGCTCATCTGTAATCTGGGCCTTGTACGCCTATCAAATTGCATACCAGTGAAGGGGGGTGTCAGTGTTGGAGTAGGTATTTCCAGGCCTCAGCCAGAGCCTCGTCGCCAAGCAGGCTATGCAGCCAACAGTTGCATTCTGGCATGTTAACTACACCGCTGTTTCAATCTGATGCAGCCGTTCCACACCGGCCGCTCCATCCATCTGGAGAGGAGCATGCATGGTCCATACGAGAAGTGATGAAGGTGTCCTTGCAATATACGGGTGCGTTGAAGTAGTCCTACTCGTGGGTACGGTAGCAGCGATGGGCGGGTGGGAAAGGACCTCATGCACCCCTGTGACCAGGTGGTCAGCATGATGTGATACAGGAGGCTGCGCCAAGAGAGTGATACCACCTCAGCCTGGTGTTGGGGAGTCGCCCGCCGCCTTCAACGACGGCTCAGATATGCAGGCTGGGCTTTCCCTCACAAGCCTGCACCTTTGTGAGTCTGTGGTTACACTTATACAGTACTTCTAGGCACTTCGGAAGTTCGCAATTCAGATGAGGGGTCACCGAATCATCTCGCACAAGCGGTGCAGGTACAAGGATCTCTCGCATTATGTGTCTATGGTGTGCATGTAGAAATGACGTCGCAATGCCCCTGACTGCCTCTGACATGGTGTAGCTTTCGGTCTCTCTCCGGCTCCCGCGCCTGTTCTTGTCCTGGTTCACACATTGGACAGTTCTTGAGTTACATTCTGGACCCCAGCGAATTCCAGTTCATGCATGGTCTCTCTCCACAGCCTCACAGCCACCTCCTCGCCTTTCGTCGTATATACGAGTGGTGCCATCCTGTTCTCCTATTCAGTAAAGTGGCCATCTGGTGCCTCTAGGCATGCGTGTTTGCGGGCATGGGTCACGGGTGCTTGCAGGGGTGGGTAAGTAGGTAGGTAGGTACTTACGGTCTCAACTTGCACCCATCAATGACATGACCATGGGACAGCTCCCCCTGCTTCGCGGCCGCGTTGACTATGACACGAGCACCTGTGGATGGCGCTCGCCCGAATAACCGAAAGAATATGCTAAGAGGGTACTTGAGCATGCTGTCCTGAGCGTCGCGAGCCAGACTAGATGAGTGGCAGAGGCCCGGGCAGGCCCCGTTGATGATTGCCACAGAAGGGGGAATCCGTTTGGTGATTTCGGTCAGGAAGAGCTGGCCCAACAGCTTGGAGGTACCGTAGCGCTCCTGCGCGTCCCACTTGGCCGTCTTGTCATCGAGTGCGGGAAGCAGGGGGTTGGCGTCCCTTTCCTTGAATTTTGTCTCGCTAGCCGTGTCCGATGAGACAAATGTAACTTTGCCAGGTGAGGCCATCGTATTGCTTGCCTTCAACGTGGGCAGAAGCAGGATGAGAAGGAGCACGAGGGAGAGATAGTTGGTCTGGATGTCTTCCTCGTGGCCCGTTGACAGGTTGATGTTCATTGAGAGTCTATAAATGCCTGCGTTGAGGACAACAATGTCTAAACGCCGAAGCTGACTGGCGCGCTGCGCAAAGCTGGTGATTGACTCGTAGGCGAGCATGTCGAGCTCCCATACCTCTATAGCGTCTGGGGGCAGCTGTCTCCCACGGGTGAGCTGTTGGGTTGCGGCTTGGCCCTTAGCCACGTCCCGTACCGCAACGATGAGCTTGCTCAGCCCGAGGTCAAGGAGCTGCCGGGCAATCTCTAAGCCGATACCCTGGTTGGCTCCCGTGACGATGGCGGTCTTGTCGCTCAAGTCAGCATCGCGCGATGAAGTGGCAGGTGGGTACTCGAAGAGCTGCCTCTTAAACCAGTGTGACGTGCTTGCATACTTCTCCGGGGAAACATCGAACGTGGACGCCATGTTGGTAGGCAAGACTGACAGGGTACCCGATGAGGTTGATTGGCCGCTGTACTGACTATCACGTTCAGCTAAGAGGTATGCAGGACGCAGTTGGAGATTGTGAAAAGGAGAGTTGCGGTTCCCCGATCGAAGGATTCAATCATCTATTTATTTCAAGCTCTCCGACTGCGAGCGAGGAGCCAGCCCAATCGAACTGCTTTACTTTCCGGAGGAAATTTGAGTCTTCGACCAGTATCAAAGGAGGCCAATCAATACAACCTTTCCTGTGCTGCACTCGGACCGATGTGGGGCAAATGCAGGTTTTTAAAGGGGGTAGATGTAAGGTCAAGGATGATTGAGTAGAACGACATGGACTGCAGGCCACCACCGTAACCGTTGAAGTTCAATACCTACATAGGGGTGGGCATTGTTGTATTGGAGATGCTTGAGGTGTGTGAAGCTATCTCGGCTTGCTATTGGCCTGAGGTCACAAGAGTAACACTGGCTGGGTACCAGAACAGGTTTTCGTAGCCCCCGCGAACCATCGGAAGCGACTGCGACTCTACTTTGATATCAATGTGCGTACCTGTAACCCCTCCAAGCCTTGATCTGTTGGTTGATGGGGTCCACTGTCAACTGGGTGTCGTACCTTCGATCGTGGTGAGCACAAGCCGCTGGCTATGATCATGAACTCGCTTCTAATTATAGGTGCCTCAAAGGTGATCTCCTAATCATGAGGGTGCAATGTATGCAGGACTCAGGACCCAGAGTCAGCCTTGCCATTGCATTTCAGCTACTGGAAGCTAACTAGGATATGGAACTGCTCAGCCATCGTAGATACTTCGTGGTCGAGGCCAGCCAACACTGCGAAGGAAGCTTGACCAGAAATAGAAAGTAGACCCAGAGATCCAATACGTGAGGACGGTCATTGCTATAAGTTCTTCCGCAGTCGAAGTCAGAATTGTGAGTTGGGCGTTGATGTGCAGTCCAATCACCATCGTATTGCATCTCAAAATCGATATCGATATCCTGGGTTTATCTTCAATGAGGTCTTCCAGTATGTGGCTGTGGCTTTTGGTCACGCCACTCGTCGTTGCTCAAGACATCGCTGCCGTGTTCGGCAACCCGGCAAACAACTGGTCTGTCGACACTACGTTCTATCTACCCAGCGAATCAGCATTCGTGAACTTGACGGAACGATGGACGGTTGTGGGTGCGCCCACCTATTCTGCCGCTATCAGTCCATCGACAGAAGAGGACTTGGTAAATATTGTACGTATAAAAGCACCATGCGTCAGACAATGCTAGGGTTGAGCTCTAACTGGACACCCCAACAGGTTACGTTGGCCACGCAGAACAACGTCCAGTTCCTGGCCACTGGCGGGCGACATAGCGTGAGCACGACCTTAGCATCACTACAGAATGGCTTGGCTGTGGATCTTAGCCAATTCGACCAGGTTCTTGTGAGCTCGGAAGATGGCACTCTGACAATCGGTGGGGGTGTTCGTCTCGAGCAAATCCTGGACCCAGTCTACAATGCCGGCTTCGAAATGCGTAAGTTGTGTTACACAAAAACTCTCATTTGGGAAAGAGCATCGGCTGACTGCCTCTAGAGCAAGGTTCATGTTCATGTCCTGCGTACGTGGGTGTGACTATTGGTGGTGGAATCGGTCGCTATACCGGAGTATACGGCCTTGCTATCGACAGCTTATTGTCCGTACGTCTCGTCACCGCCGACGGACGTCTTCTCACTGTGTCGGAGAACTCTTACCCAGACCTTTTCTGGGCCGTTCGCGGCGCCGGGGCCAACTTCGGCGTCGTTGTATCCGCAACGTATGAGCTGCGCAAGATTTCTGATGACCCAGTTCACCGGGGTCATGTTTTCGTAGTAGACGTCAGTTTGCCAGCAAACACGAGCTCTGCCTACTTCAACCTCCTTGAATCGTACCATCAAAACGGTTCATTACCATCCAACCTAGCACAGATATCTGCTCTCCACTGGGATGAAGGGACCAATGCAGTGAGTATCGAACCAAATCTGGAGGCTATCGAATGACTTATCCTAACCTGTGCACAGTCCGTAGTACTTGGCAACTGGGCTTACATGGGCTCCGTAGACGAAGGCCGTGAGATATTGGCTCCTGTCTTGGGCCTCGAAGCGCTTGAAATTTCCGCCAGGACTGTGCCTTGGGACGAAGTGATTGCCAGCCAAGGATTTGGCGAGTTTGATGCCGTTCTCTGCGAGGACAACAAGATCCGTCACCACTATGCGGCGACAGTGCGAAACGTTTCCGCGTCAGCCTTCGAGATCGCATTCGAGAAGCTGACGAAGTTTCTCGTTGATTACCCAGATGCGCGCGGGACCAGCATGCAGATCGAAACTTTCCCCAACCAGGCGGCTATGGCGGTTGCTGACGAATCCACGGCATATCCATGGCGAGACGCAGTGGCACATATGTAAGTCCCGATCCGCACCAGATTATTGGGTCATGTGAAGCTAAGCTGATATTATACAAGTGCACTTGTGTTCACTCTGGATAGCGATAACGCCACCACGGTCGACGCAGTGACTAAGCTGGGACCAGAGATTCGGAACGATATCTTCGTAACATCTGGATATCCGGATCTCGCGGTTTACCTCAACTACGCCCACGGCGACGAGCCGATCGAGTCACTCTACGGACGCAATAAGTTGCCACGATTAGCCGAACTCAAGGGCAAGTGGGATCCCAATAACGTCTTCTCTTTCCACCACGCACTACCCACAAGCTACCCATGAGTTTGGGCAACACGCGAATTGTCGCTTGAGATATTGGCCGACTCATCGACCAGGACGAGACAAGATTAGTATTGATGACGGAAATTACATGTACGATATATGTTCTGGTAGAGATCACGTTATGCCTTATCGTGGTAAAGCCAATGCTGTCTCATAAACTCTCGCTCACTGGTCTCCAAGTTTCGCCTAAGCGACTGTTTGCGTATAGTGGGGTTGAGGGTCAAGTGGGAGCAAGAGGACTACATAAGCAAGCAAATCCCCACGCCTATGCAGGGACTACTGAGGGCATTCATTCTGTCTACATACATACCTGCTATCACTTCACCCATTCCTAAATCGCGGAGACCAGCCAAAACCCGAAGTGAACTTGAAGGGAAGATGAACATTGACGGATACGCTTTTATTGTGGGTGGTGGTGCGTACCCAGCAATTCATATCCTTCTAACGCCATGTGTAACTGACGAATGTCTTTGATTGCCACAGGCAGTGGAATAGGAAAATCTTGCGCTCTCGCCTTTGCGAGAGAGGGCGCTGCAGGGATTCTCCTAGCCGATATCAGCTTAGGCGCGGCGAAGGAGGTCGCTGCTTTGTGTGTGACCGCAGCGACAGCGGCCGGCTTCCGAGCTGAAGCCGTACATGCCGACGTAACTGTAGAGGCATCGGTCAAGTCGGCGACAAGTAGGATGGCAGACCTTTTCCCGCGGATCGACTACTGTGTAATTTCGGCGGGTGTAAGTGCCAATCGGACGTCCGTTGCCCCCACTCCCCTTATTAGGCTGAAGCTGATTGCCGCCTGTCATGGCATGGTTCCTCCAGATAGGGGTAACATTGGCAGTCGAGGTTGCAGAAACCCAGACCGCCGAGCTCACTCGGTTCTTGGACGTCAATGTTACTGGAACATTCAATGTTACGCGGGACATTACGGCGCTCATGAAGTCTCAAGACCCCAAGTCCTACGAGGCTCCGGGTCAAGGGAGAGGTCCAACACGCGGGTCCATTGTCATCATGGGGTCAGCGGCATCTTTTGCCGCCCAACGCAACATGGTACAGTACACGACGTCGAAACATGCAGTTCTCGGCTTAATGAAGAACGCAGGTACGTCATCTCCGGTACATCCGTGTGATGCATGTCTATATGATTGGGGACTGATACGACGGGAGTGCTAGCTTTGGACAACGCAGCCTACAGCATTAGGGTGAATTGCGTGTGCCCATCTTGGGTCGACACCCCAATGGTACAGGATGCGGTGGCGCATGTACCAGGACTTAAAGAGGTGATCGAAAGCCGTGTCCCATTGGGCCGGATCGCAGTGCCCGATGAGGTCGCCGACGCGGTACTGTTCTTGAGTAGTCCCCGAGCAAGCTATGTGACTGGTTCAGCCTTTATCATCGATGGAGGTACTACCTTGACGGGTCATGTTTAGAAATATCTAGAAACATTGACACCAGGTGCAATTTTCGGTGGCATTCAGCCTACCTTATGTATGATAGCCAGGTCGTATTCACAATCCGGGTGGTCATGACGCCGGATGTGGCACAGCCATGGCCAGCCCGGAGGTGGGGGCGAGAGCTGGTGCGGTTGCAGGTGGTTCGATGAACTTGATCTCACGTTACACGGCATATGCAGGCTGTAAATGACTCCAACGGCCCGCCCCCGGTTGCGACGCAGCTACTGTTCGTCACCTAAGCTAGGGCAGGGAGTAAGGACTGAGGTGGTCATCTCCGGCCGACATCTCCGGCTTTTCCCTCTCTGGATACCCAGAGAGAGCATCACATTCGAAGGATGAGCCGGATATGCATGTTGGTGATTTTAGGTGCAGGGACGTTACAATGCATACCATGACCACAGGCTGGTTGCTGACGAGTGAGTCAGTCTCACACCGGTCAAGTAATCCCGGATCAGACGATCCCCGCGGATAGCCTATCGGTACCGCCATCTAACCACACTCCTCCTGTAAGTAGATCGATAGGAGCCGCATCTTACCCCAAAAGTCGCGGCCCGACGTGTTTGACCCCACGGGGAGTGGCGGGGGCTGGGTTGGGGGCTGTGTGTAGTGTGTGTGAACATGGAAGCACGGGTGACCCGATGTACTGATAGGTACCTGCCGCCGGATTCCGATTTATGGCGAGAGCCTCGATCCAGAACTCTGGCTCAGCTCCTGCGATGGGCCAGCCACCTTTCCCAGGCTGTGAAGTGGGAACACGGTCAACATATCTATATATCCTCTGTTGGTGACAGTTGATCCAAATCACCCGAGGCCATACCTCACTCATACCCTAGCTAGCACAATTCTGGGCTCTGAAACTGAAGATAAGTCAAGATGGCGACACAAGAGACTCCCGGCGGCCCTTCCGTTGGCTACATCACCAATGGCTTTCCAGCACCTGGACTTCGGCGAACCGTCAGGCACATCACCGGCCACAACGACAATGGAAAGTCTGTTTTCCTGTCCGCCGACTCTGGCGACCATCACAAGATCATGGGGGATCAACAAGCTATTGCGAACATCCTCTACTCCACCATCGAGACGCCAGTGGACTTGAACGACGATGTCGACATCAAGCACGCTAAAGAGAACGAGGTTTGCAGCTCCAACTTCATTCAAGTCGCTCATATTCCATGTTTGAATTACGCATATTCATTGATTCCTACTTGCCGTCGCGTCGCTCCCCTCTCTGTGATACCCTTGTTTGGCATGATGCTAATGGCAGGTTCGTCAGCCTCCATTGAATTACACCAACGGGACCGTGGTCCGCATGGTTGATTTTGGACCAGGTGTTGGGACACCACTCCATCGTGCGATGTCCATCGTCTATGGTGCCGTGATGGAAGGCGAATTTGAGCTTACGTTGGATTCGGGAGAGACCCGCGTCCTGCGTCAGGGAGACGTCAGTATCAATCGCGCTGGGGCACACGCTTGGCGCAATCTCACTGGAAATGGCAATTTGCCTGGCCGTATGCTGTATGTCTTGGTGGGTTCGAAGGACGTGGTCGTCAACGGTGAGAAACTGGGAGCTTATCTTGGCTGGCTTGAGAAATACCACACAGGCGAATAGAGCCTCCGAGGACTGTGTTTGTCTCTTTCATCATGAATGCGAAGATTATGTATTGAGCAGAATCCAAGATGGAACTCTCGGTATTCCGGTCAAAGCACTCAAACAGTGATAACTCGCACGAATCCACTGCGGTGATCTTCCAAACCTCCGGGATAGGGTGCAGCGGCCCAACGAGAACAAGGTGATCATCCTATAAACTAGACGGTCAAAGTCATGCTTCAAATCGATGCATTGGACCAACCAATATCTACAACTCATAGTAATATCCAAGTACAGTCCGAAGTTGCATGATGGTATCTGCAACTTGGGCAGAGACCTGAACATAACAGTACATCAGTCACCTTTCATCACCCCAGCGCTCGTCCTGTGAGCATCTCTGAGCTTTCCGAGATTGAAGGAGGCCCAAAATATGTAGTCCTGATTGTCGATCAGTATTTTCTACACTACGCGCGATGTTATGAAGGGGGGTACCCACCCAGATGGTACGCCATGCAAACATGTCCAAGAAACGGACCGTGGAGGCGGTCTTCCCGTACCAGAACCAAGCTGGTGGAGACTGCTTCAAGCTCTGGGCCACGACCTTGCTGGCGTATTCGAAACGGTCCGTAGTATCTTGGACAGTCGCGTTAGTCCAAGCAATCAATACTTGCCTGTGGCACTGAACACCTACTCGGGGATCTCTGGACGTGCTGTTTGAACTCATCTGCGAGAGGAGCCATGTAAGACCCTACACGCGAGCAAAAGTTAGGATCAAACAGGGCCTGAAACAGTGCGAGTCCAGACCTCTTGGAAGTTCCCTATGAATGTCTCTTCGGAGTATGTTGGTCCCGATCTCTCCCGATATGATCTTCAGACATTGCGTAGCACATTAGCCATTTGGAGCAGTGAAAGCTCGATTGAGGTCTCAGTACAGTAAGGACGCTGACACTGTAGGGTTCGCCATTAGTAAACGATCGAGTCCGTAGTCCGCTTCCCGACTTCAAGCAGTTCTTACTCGAGTGGTGCCATCTCCACTCGCAGTGTGTTTGACCAGTGCTGAAGAGCTGCTTTGGTGGCGTTGTATGAAGCTGTTGCTATACGTCAGCAATCTACGCATGCCATGAGCTAAACGGATTGAACTTACATCCATAGACGTAGGGAACAATGCCGCCCACCGACCCGATGTTGACCACAGTTCCGTGCGCCTTGATCAGCAAATCATGAAAGTGGTGTACCATTCTCATTGGTCCAAACACGTTGACATCAAACATACGGCCAACCTCCGTGACGTCGGTGTCGATAGCCGCCATGGTATAGGCTTTGCATTATTCAGCTTCGAACGGATGTAGTCGGCAGTGCTGATGGACGAGGCTGTATTGTCTTACCTATCCCGCTGCAAGAGAGTGACAAAGGTCTGTGGTAAGTACGAAGCTATTACACCAGGCGTGGAGAAGTTACTTACGCGTTGTTCACCAGAATATCAAGAAAGCCGCCAGTAAGTTCACGGACGGTGTTTTTGAGTTCCTCTACTGACTCGTCACTGGTCACATCTAAGTGGAACCATGATATCCCAGCGTCGGTGAGATGGTCGCTTGACTCGGACGGGAGGATCGTAGCAATGGAGTGCAGGCCTTTCCGCTGGTACTCTATGACTAAGGCCTCACCAATGCCCCCTTTCCCGCAGCTACATTTGGTAAGCGGGACACTCAATGTAGCGAGCAACAGGAGACTGACCCAGTGACCAGGGCGAACGCTGTTTGGGGTGCCATGATGCTTGCTGATCGGGGGTCGTGAGTATGGGGCGATGGCCCTTGAAAAACAGCACAGCTGTGCAATGCAGCAGATCTACTATTGCCGACATCGGTTCAGAAGCGGGCGATTTTCGAATCGCGATGCTCGGGCAGCTACAGCACCAGTACACGGAGGGAAAGAGGGCCCGACATGAAGGTGCCCATGTATTGTTGACTTGATAAGGTCCTTGGCAGAGTTCCGTGTCAACCTGGATCACGGGATGCTCACCACTGATTTGTCGGCTTTTGATTCATGCACTGGTACCCTGCCAACCGAAAGGACCAATGGTTAGGGCGCCCATTGGAGTTTGATACCACACCACCCCGCTACTCGCACTCTACACTGCAGCTCCCATATAGGGGGAGAAAGTCGGCGGAGATAGGGCATGCTTGCCGACTGTTGAGGCAACCCGAGCCGGGCCAACATCCTGATCAGGGTCCAGTGACGCAAGCTAGATTTGGTGCCGTGGTGATGAGTCTCTGAGCTTGGCACCAAGCCGATAAATGCAACCGCTCAGACTTACCTTTGCCTCTGGGTGTACCACATGAGGCTGAGCAGGTGTGTAATCGAGCACCATCTGGCTGAAGGTATTACACATGTATGCGTTCCCCTAGAGACACCAAACAGACTACGCTTGAGAGACTTTTCGGGTCAAAAGTAACACCTGTGATTACGAAGCATACTCGATATGAAGATGCGTACGAACAACAGCGATCATGTGCCCAGCTATGCGGACGATCCTGTCTGTATCGTTGGGATGGGTATGCTCCTGCTCTACTGACTCCGAGCTCTGGTCACTAACTCGTGGCTAACAGCATGTCGACTACCGGGCGGTATCAACGCGCCTTCACGACTCTGGGACTTCTTGCTGAACAAGCAGTCAGCACAAGGTCCGGTGCCTGCTCAACGCTTCAACATAGGCGCTTATTACAGCCCGGACGGCAGTCGACCCGGACTGTCTCATGCCGCAGGTGGCTATTTCATCCAAGAAGACGTCCGACAACTAGACAACCACTTCTTCGGCATTAACAACATCGAGGCCAGTTCAATGGATCCGCAGCAAAGAAAGCTCCTTGAGGTTGTATTCGAGTGTCTCGAAGACGCTGGCATCCCAATGGAGCGCATTTCTGGTACCAATACTGGCGTATTTGTTGGTAACTTCACAGTTGACCACCAAACCATGCAGACGCGTGATCCAGACATGATCCATCGTTATACCGCATCGGGTTGTGGAACTACGATTCTAGCAAACCGTATCAGCCACGTGTTCAATCTTCAAGGACCAAGGTAAGCCCTACTTTTCTCTTACCTGATCTCTTAGTTAAGTCGTGGTCAGAACCCAACTGTCTTGAGGCTTGAAAGGGCAGGGCCCCTGGCGCCCCTACCACACCAAACCCCCAAGACACCCCTGGTGACTTGTGTATGTCGCCCAACAGCTGACTGGTCCCGACGGTGGTAGCTTCACTCTGGACACGGCGTGTTCGTCCTCGATCTACTGTCTCCATAGCGGTATCAGTGCCATCAAAGTCGGCGACTGTGACGAAGCAATCATTGCTGGTGCCAACTTAATATTGAGCCCTGAGCAGTGTATAGGCACCATGAAAGCCGGTGTCCTCTCTCCAACGTCCACCTGTCACACCTTTGACATATCAGCAGACGGATACGGACGTGCCGAAGGGGTGAGCGCTGTGTATCTCAAACGTCTCTCTGCTGCACTGGAGAAAGGCGACAAGATCTGGGCTATAGTTCGTGGCACTGCTGTCAATGCGTAAGCGTCCTTCCAAGCATGTAGTATCGTGTTGGCTCACTTTTGATCTCACGCGACGGTCTGCAGGAACGGTAGCACCCCAGGCATCACACAACCGAGTGTGGATCTCCAAGAGGCTGTGATCCGAAAAGCGTACTCGAACGCTGGTCTTGATTTCGCCGACACCGACTACATCGAGTGCCACGGCACTGGAACCCCGGTAGGCGATCCGATTGAAGTCGAAGCCATCGGTCGGTGCTTCTCTCGCCAGGGTGGGACACCATTGATGATTGGAGGCGTACGTACAATAACCCAGGCCCCTGATGCAAGGCCAGCGCTGACTCGCGATTGGGCAAAAGGTCAAACCCAATCTAGGGCATAGCGAAGCAGCAAGTGGTCTCACCTCGCTGATCAAGGTTGCTCTGGCCCTTAATCATGACCAGATCCCCCCAACATATGGTGTGAAGGAGTTGAACCCCAAATGTAACGACTCGCCCGATCCCGAATATTGTATGCAACCCGTGTCGCTGACTCCACGCGGTAGTACGGCTTAACGAGTTGAACCTCAAAGTCGTGACTGAAGCCTACGGTTGGCCAAGAGCTCTTCGAAGAGTGTCCCTCAACTCGTTTGGATATGGCGGAGCAAACGCGCACGCCATTCTCGAATCGCCCCGCAGTTACTTACGCCTGCCTCCAGCTTCGGCTGGGCTGAGTACGGCGGCGAGTGACCATCAGTATTACGCCCTGCCCATCTCAGCGGCCTCACAGGAGTCTCTGAAAGCTCGTGAACGACAAGTCCGACAAGTCCTCGAGTCCGGCGACGCCGGAACGGTCCAGAGTCTGGCCTGGACCTTGGCTGAAGGCCGATCACACATGGCCAAGAGACAAGTGTTGCTTGCAAGAGCCACATGCCACGAAATCGAAGTTCTGGAGCTTGGGCTAGCTTCCGACGTCAAGGCCACCTCGGTAGCATTTGGGTACGTGTTCACTGGGCAAGGAGCCCAGTACCCAGGCATGGCCAAAGAGCTGCTCGAGGGCAACACCGTCTTTCTGGCCAGCATCCGTGGCCTTGACAAGGTCTTGCAAGCTCTGCCCGCGGAACACGCCCCTGGATGGACTTTGGAGCAGTCCATCATCGATGCGCCAGAGATCAGCCAGATTCAGCTCGTCACGCGGAGCCAGCCGGTCTGCACTGCTGTTCAAGTTGCCCTTGTAGACCTACTTCGCTCATGGGGGGTGAATCCTACAGGCGTGGTGGGCCATTCTTCAGGCGAGATTGCGGCAGCATATGCTGCCAGGCTGCTCAACGCCAAGCAGGCGATTTTAGTCGCGTATTTCAGGGGTTACGCGGTCGCGCAATTGAAGACGCGCGGGGCCATGCTGGCAGCCAGCCTGGGCGTCGACAGTGCTAGAGCGCTTATCGAGAATATGCAACTAGGCGAGGAAGTAGCCGTCGCCTGTGTCAATGCGCCCGAGAGCGTGACTCTCAGCGGATCCCTCGAGGCCATCGAGCAAATCACAGCCGCTATCCAGAAGCTCGGCAAGGGCACCTTTGTTCGCCAGCTCAAGACAGATGGGCGCGCATACCATTCGCGATGGATGCGAGAAGTCGGCGACTCGTACGAGCAACTCCTTGCGCCGTATATGGGCGCGCAGCTACCCCATGGCGGAGGAGCGCAGGCTGAGATTGAGATGCATTCCTCAGTGGGAGTACCGGAAGACCAAGCCAGCGTAGTTGATAGCTGCCGCGCAGCCTCGGCCACGTATTGGCGGGCAAACCTGGAGATGCCAGTACAGTTCCAGTCGGCCCTGACAAGGTTGATCGAAAGCCGAAGCGCCATTCATTTGATCGAAATCGGCCCTCACCCTGCGCTGAAAGGCCCAATACGTCAGATTACAACCCATATGAAGCGCGACGCTCGTTCCTTGCCGTATAGCTTCGCCCTCTCGAGGGATCGAGACGCCGATAAGTCGATGAAGGAACTTGCAGCTGACGTCTTCCTCCACGGACACGAGCTATCTTGGCTGAACGTGAATCCCAAGGTAGGTAGCACGGGCCCACGGTTTCACTCCCTCCCTCCATATCCATGGGATTACTCCGCGGGACTTCAATGGCATGAACCTCGTGTAAGTGCCGAGGTACGGAGTCGCCAACATCGTCGACATGAACTCCTCGGGTCGCAGCAACCAGCGGGAAATGGTATCGACTGGATGTGGCGTAATACACTGCGTCTTCGTGAAGCACATTGGGTGCGCGATCATCGACTCGAATCTCAAGTTGTATTCCCGGCCGCTGGCTACCTTTCCATGGCCATGGAGGCCCTTTCCCAGATCGTGCAGTTCGCAGAAGCTCCATCGACTTTCATTGAACTTCGTAACGTTAACTTCGGAGCTGCGCTTGTGGTGCATGATGGAGACGATGAGGGGGGAGACGCAGCAAACGCGGTTGAGCTGCACACGACTATGTCGGCGCGGAAGCTGTCCACGGCGACCAATTCGATGGAGTGGTATGACTTCGCTATTTCGGTAAGTACATCAGTCAACATTCTAGACCTTCCATGGTATTGGGAGTCTACTACACCGATATGTGGTTAGTAGGGGTGTCAGAACCTTGTCCTATATACCCCATTGTCCGAGTGAAGTGAGCTATACCTAAGGTACGGACTAACGCTGGCTCATTTAGTCATGGAAGGCTGGTCAAGCAAATCTGCATTGTGCAGGTGGAATACGGCTGGTACCCGCAGACGAGAGTGTGGAAGTCGATAGGGTCGTCACCGTCGAGGACTCTGGTAACCTCGAAGATGTGCCTCACATGAGCCGCTGGTACGGTAGGTTTGAACAGGAGGGACTTTGCTTTGGACGCCACTTCCAGTCGATAACGGGACTCAAGACCCACCCCAACCGACTACGGTGCGAGGCTATATGTAGCACTCGCCTCACATCCTTGGTATCTGAGGACGGGAAAAGCGCAGGGTACCCAATGCATCCTACTACGATCGACGCATGCCTTCAAGCCGGGATCATGAGTTCTGCAGCCGGTGATGCAAATGCTCTTCATGCCTACCTTCCGATATTCATTAACCAATGCCGAGTTCGCACCTTAGGCTTGGACTTGTCTAGTCGAAATCCCCCGACTCTCCATGCTCGGTCAACCAAGACTGGCATGACCATGCGCCGAATCGACTGCACAATGTGGGGTGAGGACGCTTTGCCGCTGATTGATTTTCAGGAAGTGCGCATGTCTCAGTACACAGGCAAGACCCCCGAGACCCCCTCAGCTTCTCGCCAGCCGTGTCTGCGCGTACAGTGGAAGCCCGATATCCACCGCTTGGACTCAAGCACGGAAGGGGACCTGAGTGCATACATGGCCGCATTTACCGACCGGTCTCAAAGCATGGGCGTGCCTGATGAACGGTACCTAGCAGTCATGGGAGTCCTGGTCGACCTCGTCGCTCACAAAAACCCCCAAATACGGGTTGCCGAGCTTGGGGAAGAGCGCGGATGCAATGCTGATCAGTCTTCAAGTCTGATTGATCAGGGCGTCAGTATCGCCCAGCATGGGAGTTGGTCCAAAGGCAGATTGGACGAAAGTAATGCAGTGGTGATTGATGACAACGGTGAAGGCCCCTTCGACCTCCTGATCATTCCTGGCGTATGTATTGCTCCTTCCACTGTCCACGGGCATCTTCTAACAGCTTTGCAGCCCAGAATCTCTCAGGATTACTGGCAGCGAACACCTAGAAAGCTCAGGGAGATGGTCAAACATTCGGGAGTTATCATCACCCATAAGACAGAAGCCGCCGTGTCCGCATTGAATCAAGCTTGCTTCGCAGTCAAACTGGTGGAAGAACAGATCCTTCTTGCGATCAACACTACAGGGCAAATACCGCAACCACTCAAAGACAGGCATGTCATCATCCTTGTAAGCAGAGACACCACGCAGATTACGTAGTGCACAACTGATATGTTCTGTAGGTTCGAGAGCCTTCTCATGCGGTCGCAGCACTCGTGGTCACACTGGCCAGCTACTTGAAGCGAAATGCCGGTACAAGAGCGGCGCAGATTATACCATTCCGTGACATCGGCCAAATTCAACTGTGCAAGGAGATGCTATGTATCTCTTTTCTCGAGGCAGAGAAAGAGTTCTTGGCTTCGATGGACCAAGGTAACATGGATCTTCTACGCACCGTCACTAACGTGGTAACGGATCTGCTCTGGGTAACAGGTGCGGATATGCTGGGCAATAGCCCCGATCCTGATTTGACATTGTCCAGTGGGCTGTCTCGTGCTATCATGCTAGAGCAGCCATCATTGCGGTTTTCGATAATGGATGTCAGGTCCACCAGCATCGCGGAGTCCAACATGACCACGATCTGTGAGAACATGATGAAGATACTTGATTCCTTCTACCCCATGGACGACAAGGAATTTGTGCAGAAAGAAAGTCTACTATACGTCAGTCGCTTTGCCCCCGACTTCAGCTCGAACTTGCTGTTCCAACGCCGCCTGGGGGCACCAGGAGCTGTACAGAATGAACGCCTCGGAACGTCCCGACCAGCTGAGATGTATATGGCAGCAAAGGGTGTTAGCGAGACCATACAGTTCCGTCAAAAACACGAGCCCACCACGAGCCCACCAGATGGGTGCATTGACGTACTCGTCAAAGCTATCAGTCTCAATGCGAAGGATGTGTATGCCCTGCACGGACGCATTGAGACCCATATGGCTACAAATGCCGTGGAAATCAGTGGTGTGGTCACAGCATTGGGACCAGGTGTGGTTGACCTTCGAATTGGGGACCGTGTACTCGTGATGGCCCCAACCTATCTCGGAACGACAGCACGCGTACCAGCCTGGGCCACCCATAGGATGCTGCCAGAAGAAAAGTACACCACAATGCCCACTCTTCCGGTGGTTTATACAACTGCGTTATACGCCCTGCGGGAACGTGCCCATCTACGAGCAAAGGAGTCGGTCTTGATTCATAGTGGGGCCGGTGCTTTCGGCATAGCCGCCATCACGACGGCGCAACGTATGGGAGCTACCGTGTACACGACTGCAGGGACTGAAGCCAAACGATCCTGGATATCTTCCAATCTGGGCGTCCCGCTGACGAATATCTTCCATTCCCGTGATACCTCCTTTGCAAGGGGCATTAAACAAGCGACGGGTGGCCGAGGGGTGGATGTTGTCGTGAATGCCCTCGTTGGTGATCTGCTACATGCAACGTGGGCTTGCATAGCCCCATTTGGACGCTTCGTCGAGATAGGGAAGAAGGAACTCACTGAAGCTGGACGGCTAGACATGGAGGTGTTTGTGCGCAGCGTCACGTTCACCGCATTCGATCTGAACGGACTCTTCTTCAACGAAGACCCGTATTATCGTGATCTGCTTCGCAGGTATGTCTTCTGATGTTCGTATAAAACACCCGATCCCGTGCTGACTTGTGAACTCGATCGCAGGCTTACTACGGAGGTACTTGACCTCTATCGCTCCGGGGTTATCAAACCGGTTCCCATCACAGTCTTTCCAGCAAACGAAATAGCTCGTTCCTACCGGTACTTCTCCTCGCACGACCGAATAGGCAAGGTAGTCGTCTCGTTGGAAGACGACAATGCTTCCATTCCGGTATGACACCTTTAGTATCTCTCGTCATGTGCCTCCGCCCTTATTCCACCTTCTCCTATGATTCTAATTAGCATTTATAGGTTACCCCTTCACAGTACCTGACCCTTTTCGATCCTGCAAAGGTGTACCTTCTGGTGGGGTGTCTAGGTGGCTTAGGACGGAGCCTCAGCCGGTGGATGCTGGCTCGGGGCGCTCGCACATTCGTCTTCTTGGGAAGGTCAGGCTGCGATAAACCAAGCGCGAAAGACCTTGTACGCCGCCTGGAAACTTCCGGATCCGATATAACAGTGGTTAAAGGCAACGTTACCGACATCGATAGCGTCACCGCCAGCATAGCTGCTTGTAAAGCTACTGGAAAACCCATCGGCGGTGTTGTTCAAGCTGCTATGGGACTCCATGAGGCCTTATTCGCGCGTATGACCAGCGAAGCGTGGCACGAAGCTATTCAACCGAAGTGGGCGGGTTCTCACAACCTCCACAGAGCACTGGAGAATCGGGACGAAAGCCTGGATTTCTTCTTGCTAATGTCTTCGGTGTCTGGAAGTGTGGGCACCGCGACTGAAAGCAACTATTGTGCGGCGAACGGTTTTCTCGATGCATTCGCTCATTGGCGCCGTTCTCTCGGAAAACCAGCTGTCTCGGTGGGCTTGGGAATGATCTCCGAAGTTGGGTACTTGCATGAGAACCCCGAAATCGCGGCTCTACTACTGCGGAAGGGGATCCAACCTCTAAGCGAGGCTGAGTTCCTCCAGGTCGTAGACCTTGCCCTTGCCGGGGATAAGGTCCATTCCAATTCCAACAATGGTAGCCCTGCAGCGGCCCATATCCTCACCGGGTTGGAAACATCGGAGGCCCGCCGCCTAATTGAGCAAGGGTTCGATGTAAGCTACGGCTCTATGCAGGATCCGCGAGCGGCGGTCCTGCGGACGGCGCTGAATGTGGCACCAGGTCCAGCCGAGGGCGCCATCACATCTGCCAAGTCCCGGTTGAGTGCTGCTGCCTGGTCCAATTTGGTCCCGGTCTCTGCCATGGAGTACTTCATGCCCGTAACCGAAGAGCCTTCGTTGGAGCTTGCGGTACTGCGGCTGTTCAAGAAGCAGTTTTCAAGCTTGATCCTCATGCCGCTGGACAGCGTTGACGCCGAAAGGCCGCTGATCAAGTTTGGTATGGATAGCATGATCTCATCAGAGCTCCGCACTTGGATCTGGACAAGTTTCCAAGTCGATGTGCCTTTCTTCGATATCATGAGCCCCGACAAGACCCTGAGCGCGCTTGCCAAGTTCGTGGAAGAGGGGTTGGTGAACGGATCGGCTAGATCGAAGTAAAACTTCGATCAATTGGCGTTGATTGGGGCAGATGTAGGACTTTCCGATGCTTGTACCTATGATTGACGGTCCCTATCTCGTCTTCCATCCCCATCCCGAGGAGGACTGTGGAATGGACTTGAGTCGCCGTCCTAAAGCAAATTCTCGACCGTCCTCCGCCAAAGGGCTAATCCTGGTGCATCTTGATTGTCATGTATGCTGCCGTCTGCGCTGAGTGCTGGAGTACATAGCGATTCGAGGTTCGAGACTCAATCTTGACGGCAACGCGTTTGATGGGGATTGCAGATAGGTAGTTGTGTGCCTTTTGGTAGCTTTCCCAGATGCTGACAAATCACAAGTCTTGTTGTAATCTATCAGTGGTCTGGGTGGTGCTTGATTAACAGGTCGGATGGAAAGGATTCCATCCGAGATGTATCTAAATACCTAAATTACAGTGGTGAGGTACCTGGGGCAACAAAGGTTTGCCAGGCAGCCTTCATCAGGTAACCTCCAACATATCTGGTGGGGTTACCAGAATACTCCATATGGGTCCATGCACTAGATCCACAGTTGTTTCCTTGATAATTCACTGTACGGCTTATCACATAACTCAAGTATGCAGATAATGAGAGTAGTAATTCCCCGGAGCTAATGAGACAGCTATCCTATAAGGGCTAGACCGTACTACCCCAGGGTACCTGGGTAAAGTCAAGATCCGGCCCCCCACTTCCGCCCTCCGCCTCCGCCTCCGCCCTTCCGGATCTCTTCCATCCTTTCGCATACCGACAGCCACCAGCATGACCTAACAGAGCGGAATCGACATTCTCTGTGATGCTGCCGGCTCCGACCTGCTGCTGGGGTCTATGTTTGCGCCCTCTTCGCCGCAACAGCAGTCCCAGTCCCAGCCCCAGTCTGCGAAGCGCGTCAAGCTATCCAGTGAAGCTTCCGCCACGGCCTCGCATGTCTGCCATACATGTAAAAGGGTCTACGAAAGGTTCGCAACCCCAAAGCCCTTCCTTAACATGGTTGCGCACAGTCTCAGCACTTCAACGTTACCCGTCGCGCTCGCTGACTTGGCACCTCTCTAGAGCCGACCACCTGAAGAGCACTTGCGATCGCGTTAGTGACCAACCTTGATACCTCCTCTGTAGCTGGCAACATAGGCTGAATAGAACGAAGACGAGGGTTTTGTTTCTATTTTAACGCAGCATCCATTCTGCTAAAAGCCCTCCCGGTAAACCTATCACGGCCCTCGAGGAAGCAGATAGTACCTGAACATGTTTGTCATTGGCCTGCTCGCACTAATGGGGAGCGCAGCTCGCGGTTTTCCTGGCACGCCCTTTATTTGCACTTTAGGCCTTGTATTATAGTTGGTTGCCGGGGTGTCCAACGTCTCGGCAGTGTAGGCACAGCCTTCGATCTCTCTGAACTGTGCTAGTTGATAACGGCTCCTTAGATACGACAATCCTCAGCACAGTGCATAGGTAACAACGTGATCTCGATTTTTGAGCACAAGTCGTGTGCCAGGATGGACTTCTACCAACAGATGAACAGTTATGGCTGCCCTTCCGACGCCAACATTTGGGTACATCTTCCAATGAACAAAGGGGAACATATCAACTCGATTTATGCGAGGGCTCAATACTCAGGTACTGCATCATACACGTGTATTGCATCCTTTGCCTTGGCTGTAGGTACTCTATCCACCGTTTCGAGTTCTTTACTCATATAGCTGCTAGTTTGCTACAAATCATGGACAAAAAGTCACGTTTGGACCTTACGGTACCATTCGCCAGTTGGGTAACCAGTCTAATTTCAGGCTCAAGTTGCCGAAGTCTCCGTCGACCATCTATATCACAGACCTACACAAGTCTGAAAGCAATTCTTTCGATATCGCTTTGGACCAGTCGCAACTGCGGGTTGACCCATGCCCTGCTCCAGTCTTGGAGAGGTCTCTTAGTCCCTACCATCACTACTCATCCTGCGCCTTGGATGGCATTGTCGAGATCACACCTTGTATTGAACGCGGTCAGGGCAAAGACAGCCGATGCTACATTGGTGGAATGATGGTGCATTACGAAGATGGCAATCGAGCCTGCCTGGGCATGTGCCGCCTGGACTGGATGGGAAGCCCGCTTCGGGTGTGCAGTACGCATCTGCACATGGCTGCTGTGCGGTGCCAAGGCGAGAGACGGGTAGTGAGAGTGACTGTGGATGCTGGACCATTACCACCACTGGGCCAGCCAGAGCGCTGGGTGCAATTCCCCTGGTCCGGGACTCTAGACTGGTGGTTTATTCGGTCTGCTGCCGTCATTAGGTATCGACCTTCTGTAGCGGCAGCTACAAGCGATTCCAAGTAGGGAGTGAGTGGTTGCGGTCGCCGATCTCTTCGAGCGCGTCTGTCACATTGGGATCGAGAGCGAATAACGACCGAATAGATAAGGAAAGTGGTGGATATAAGCGCACTAGGTAACCCAAATGTATTCTCTTGCCCCTCTCAGATCCAAATGGTCGTATGCCTTTCTTAATTTGGCTATCTACCTCGCCATCCTCCATATCGTGCAGGTAGCTGTAGCTGCCCTCCTCTTCTTTGACGCGCGGCGGGCCGGCAAGGGAGACATGCTTGGCTGCGGTTTGCTTAGGACGGTTTTTGGCATCGTAGGGATTTTCTTGGTCAGTCAGGGAAGTGTCGGGCCGATCGCGCTTGAGGAATGGTGCGTAGTGAGCTCTGGCTGCAACAGCGTCCTTGAAGCCGGCTCTAGCGGCAAGCTTCTCTCAATTGATCTGATAACGAGTCAGCTTATATTGTATGACACCTTGCGTGGGATAAAGAAGGGTCATGTCGAATGAGAGTGCGTACCTTAGGCTCCGTGTTAGAGCTTGACAAGGGCCGCCATGTCGCGCACGGCGACCTGATCGGGAAACGCAGATTTGCATGCCATCTTCTGCTATACTGGCAGGCGCAGTGTTGAATGTACGTAGATGTGGGCGTTGGAGGAGAAGTTGACTATGATGATGTGGACTGGTGGGTGGGAGAAAGTAGGCGTCGGCAAGGCTGAGAGATCTGCTTGACATGGGGTGGGGATATGCAATCATTACGGGGCGCTCCCCGCATGATCGCCTCAGGCCTCCGGTGGTTCTGGGGCGTAGGGGTAGTTACGGGTATTAAGTGGGTGATGCGGGGACCCTAAATCTTAGCCCGATCTATCTGTGCAAGGCTAACCTAATCATCAACGCCCGCCGCCATCTCTAGCTCAGAGATACCATTACCAATGGTACGCCATGCCTGTTCACGAGGTGTACATTGTACTTTCTATCGCTCTTTGTGATTTATTCCAGACGGTATAGGCTGCCGTTATTGTTCTACTTCTATAATCAATTTATAAACTGGGTCAGCTTTGATTCTTGTTGATTGATGGACGCAATGTCACCTGGGCTTCCCGCTTTGCCTGGTCGATCTCAGCTGCTGCCACGCGCCCCATGTTGTCGTCCAGGTAGTGTCTTCACGATGGCTGCCCCGGGCACCCAACTCCAGTTCTTTGCGACACATCTGTTTGGACTTGGTTGCCATGGACTTTACGCCTTCCCACCTTCCCATCTTTCGTGGTTCCTGCAAGGCTTTTCTCGTTCTTGACACCCCCTCGCAGCGATGACCTGGTCACCCAAATTTTGGCATCAATCCACAACCTGAACCGAAAACAGGTAAGTCATCTATTTTCCACCCTCAATCACCTTTCTTCTCGTACCCTGCACCCAAGCGTATCGCTCACAGGCAGTTCGCATCTTCTGGAAAGCAACGTCTCGAGCCGAATAAGCACCTCGGACCCCGGCACCGCGGCCGCAAACACACACAGCATCCAACTAGAAGATGGATGCGAAGCATCCATTGTCTAGTTGGGTGGATGATGATCCTTGGGATTGGGGAGTCGAGCGGGTCGTTCAAGAGCTCTGCTCCCAGAATCGAACCTGGAAGCTGCCAACGGACTCGTCAAAGCTCCCTCCATAACTCAAGACTCGTCTACGTGAACAAGATGTCAACGGCCACACCATCCTCACGTACTATGACGAGAAGGAGCTGTTTGAGGCACTCAGTATGGAGAATCTCAATCACAAGACGACGTTTATAGACGCCCGCGATCAATTTATCCTTTAAAAAGCTGAGGATTATAACCGCTACCTTAATGGCGTGGCTCGTAGCCCTTTCATTGTCACTTTTATAACACCAGTACCTGAAAACATGTTGTTGTTACGAACCAACGAGGCGTACAGGGAATGAGGCCCGCTGGCAGGCACAACAAGATGGACAGTAACTGGAAGAACCCGGGAGAACGCACGGGCTAAGGAAACGTCTAGGTCACGTGATCAAGACATCACGTGATGGATAGCTTGGATAGCGAGGTTATCCAACATATCCAGGATAGCTGTGACGGCCTGCGTAGACCTTCCCACATGACAAGTGGATACTTCCTAATAGGGGAAGGATCTGACCAGAGGATCCCCTTAAAGGGGCAACCTCCCACTGTATTTATCTCTCTCTCTCTTCCTTTCCTCTCTAGTCTTAATATTCTCGTCAATAGAGTAATAGCTGCTTGCTGCAGGCCATGTCCCAGCTCCCCAGTATGCTCGCCGTGACAATAGATTGGATAGCAAGGTTATCCAACATATCCACCCCATCAGTGAGGGAGAGATTGGATATATAAGGATGGACATTTCCTAGCTAGACAGATAGACTGTCTCTACCGCAGTGATCAATCTAAGCATCTTAGCCAACCCTAGGGTGGGAGAAATCTCCTGACGACCCGACTATTCAGTGAACCCAGTTCAGACCAAGCCCCAGTATCTGAGTGTCTTCTAGTTGACAGAAGCCTCTATTGTCTTTTGTGTTGACTTACCTCAGAACATAAACCCTATAGAACCCTTTAGCCTTATAGGTTAAACGGCTCGTCACAGTTGTAGACCAATATACATATGGGTGAACATTGTTGTATTGGAGATGCTTGCCGTGTATGAAACTATCTCGGCTTGCTAGCTACATATCTAGGGAGCAGGGCAACTGTGGTCTGTGCACCGTGGTTGGCCTAAGGCCACAACAAGTTATATAATCTAAAACAACGCCGACGGCCATCTCCCTTCTACTTCCCTCGTGTTCTTCTACTTGTCGCAACCATAGCACTTTTCAAGCCCTTGAGATTTTCCGCAGACAATATTCCCTTCGAATAACAGCTCTACGATGGACGTGCTTAAACAGATTGGGCATCGTCTGGTACTTTTGTCTTACTCAGCCTTCAGCACGAAAACGTGACTACACAGTAGCATAGCTCGCCCCAGAAACTATCTCTCAGCATCCTTCTTACAATGGCTTAGCATTGCCTAGAACATCCGTTAGATATCGGTATCATGAAACAGATAGGGGCCACGTTCCCGTGAGGTATCTACGTTTACGAAAGCTCCTTCTAGTAGACTCACAGAGAGAGCTTATTGGCGATCTTCTTCATGGTTACAATAGGCTAAATGCGCGAATTACAGATGCTGCTAACTATGAGGGGGACGGTCGGCTTTTCTTATTACAAGCCGATAAACCTTTTAACGGCAGGCGTACTCAGATTCCACGTTGCACAGTACATAAGCTGAACTTTGTTATCGAGATGACTCCCAATTCATCCTCAGAACCAGGCGGAGGGACGATATATCCAGTCCAGGCTCACATCAAGATCCTATTTCACAGTGACCAGCCTCACCTACTTACATCTCGTCATTGCCTATTGCCAGGGTGTGACCAAATGGCAGTGCTCAAACGGGTTGACGGCCAACGGGAAGACTGGTTTCCGGGTCATGATACCATTTGCTCGTCAAACAAACCCCCTGGTACCGCGAGATCAAGCCCTAGGTTGGTCAGCAAGCTCGCACATATATAGGGGAGGGAACCCATAGGTCACGGCATCCTCAACTTCTTTTTTCTTTGTCCTCCTCTTCCTTACCCTCCCGTCCTGGATTTCCACATTGTTCTATGATATGGCTGAATCCCTGTTACGGTACAAGTACATTGTACCTCCACATGTACCTATATATATGGGAGGCCCACCTCCCACCTGAAGCGGCTTTCCTTCTTCCTTTTTCCTTCTTCATAGATCGTTGAATCTAGCTTTATCTATCCATCAGTCCTGACCAGTTGTACTGCAGGCCTGATTGTCACAATCCCATCCACCCCTTTCGGTCCAAGGCGATCTAGAAATTGTCCAGGCGCTCCCAGTCAAAGCTGTGAGATTTCAAACCGTTCTGTATTGAAAGGAAAGAGAAGAAGATCTCTGGGGGAGAAGCCCCCATATGTACAGGTGTGCCATCAGGGTGACCAGATAATCATACGATAATGGCGCCAGGATCCTGGTAGCCTGAGGGTGGGCTGACTGCCCTGAGGCTAAACCCATTAGCGCATTCAGCCCCAAAAGCCTCAGCCTGGTATGATATCCAACAAAAGCTCATTCTGATTGGCCGGATCAGATATTGCCGTCGGACGAATATCCTCCCGTGGACTAGATGAACTACTTCACCTTTGAGTATGCTTCGCTCGATAACGATGGTTTTGGCTCCTTGAACCAGTGGGCCGTCGACGAACCGGCCTGCGACAAAATGAGCGGTAGATCTCCTTCTGCCGTCGGGCGCAAGGACGATGTCTTCATGATTACCAATCCAGATCTTGTCCCTATTCAAGACACTGCCTGGGGCATCAAGCCTCTACATCCAGGCGATATTCAGCCCAGTGTCACTTTGTCTAGCAGCAACTATCATCTTGTGGTAGATGATATTGACACTGCAGATATCGCCTGCCTGAGACACGACGTCCAGGCCGCCTCCTCTCTCAGCGTCCCATGCCCAGGCTTACATAATAATACTCCCGCCACCGATCTTCCCAACAGTCTCACCCCGAAGGATGACGAAGGCATAGCCAGCCACCACGCCACTAACTGTCATACTCCCGAGAGTAGCAATCTCGCTTCAGGCAGAACAAGTTCACCAATTACCGTTAATTGCAACCCTGTCGGGGTTATTAGTCTCACCACTCCCAACTCGCTGATCGAATCCCAGCCTCCCGGGAAAGCCAAGAGACGCCGTTCAGCCGATGCCGTGCCATAGTCCAAAAAAAGAAGGCTCAACCACGTCAAGCGCGCTCAACCTCAAACCTACGGGCCCGGAAGGTCACCATGTGTTTCGGAGACGAAGTGGGCGAATATGAATGGGATCGGCGGGCAAGGAGGTGGAACCGGTTGGAACAGGTTGAGCACACGGAAACGGCGGATGACTTCCTGGGTGACAACCTGCGACCATTCCTGCATGTATATGTGCAGCTGGACGGAGAAGGCTGGGATATTGAATTCGTGTGGAACCAGGAAAAGAAATAATTTTGGGGTGCAGACCCGCTCTGTACCAATGACAACGAGCCTTTTTTGGTAGATCTCAGCAAAATGACGCAGATATTGTCCGACCCCAATCCGAGCAGCCCGGTGACCTGGAAGGAATGATGTAGAGTGGCGTATCAAAGTCGTATATAGCACAGTGATAGATTGCTCTTAAGGTCTCGTATTTCACGTTATAGCTTGGTAGCATAAGTATCACCAGTATTCTTTCGAGTAGGTTGTTCCTCGACGTGAGCCTTCCGTCCAACATGGCAAGTAGGTATGCTCTGGACTGTCAGTATGGGTTTCTTGCTTATGATGCGTATACCCGCGTTGACGCCGCAGAGAGCGACAAGGCCTCTGCCTTTGCCTGGGACGACATAGACCTCAAAGATTGTGCAAGTCATATCTCCAGAGCTATTAGAATAGCACCAGTATCTGAATCGTCGGAAGGACGTGGTGTCTACCACTTGCCGTAGTTCTGCCGTAGTTCTGCCGCATGTCTCCACGTCTACTAATGCTAGTCGTTCGGGTTGCTTGTGACGGTGCTCGGCACGGTTAGGATTTCCTCGGTCGGTCGGTCAGGGAGTTGTCGAGGCCATCGGGCTTGAGGAACGGTTCGTAGTGAGCTCTGGGGGCAAAGTTCTGGTTGTCTGAACGAATCAGCTCGTATCGTATGGCGGCATGCGTGGGACCAAGTACGGCTTGGCTGGGCAGAGACAAAAGAAGAATTAAATGTGGGAGAAAACAAACATAGCATGCCCAGGAATGCGGGGGACGCTAGATCCCAATTCGACTGTAGGGGCCCCCGTCGCTGAAATCCTTCTTGGGGGCATTTACCCCACTCAATCCGCTATATGCTTCTTGACTTCTGGTCTTCTATATTAAAGTATGCTGGCCTTGAGAAGTTTGGTCTCCGCAATCTCATTGGTATACCTAGCCAATCATATCCTGCACCAGCATATGCATGTATCCCGCTGTGAGTCGACTAGCAGCCTCACTGTCGCCCACTGTTCCTGTTCTCCAGTAAACAAAAACTTCGTCGCTTGTCAGCATCCCATCAACATCCCCAGCCGTTGTCAGCATCAGCATGGATATGCCTGCGGATCCGCCTCCGTGGTTCGCCTCTTTCCTTAATAAGACGTCACTAAAACTTGATCAAAGATTGACAGCATTTCATGAATGTTTGTTTGTTTTGTATTTAACGTGGGGGGTAGCTCCTCAGTAGTGCAAACCACGCCTCCCAGAGCCTCTGCATCGCAGGGTTGTAGAGGTCTCAAGATAATAAGTACAGTCAGTCCCGCTTACGGGCCCATCCCCGTTGTTGCGGCGGTATGACCTTGGGGTCATCCATCTGGTCCTTCAAGGAAGGTTATCTATCGGGGGCAGATTGTTGAAAAGAACTTGCTCTTCTCCACGAATTTTGCCCATTCCGTGCTCCTCTCTCCCAAGTATTGTAAACAGGCTGTCCTAGGCGAGTACCTAGGCAATAACCGATTTTTCCCCAGCCTCTTACAAAAGAAAATGTGTTGTGGTGTTTTCTTTTTACCACAGTTGCAGTGGTTGTTCGAGTCTGTATGCCCAAAGCGTTCGTGGTATCTGGCAAAGTCGCCATGTCCAGATCTGGCCGCTAGAAGTCTGTGTAGAGTGCTCCTCTTAAAAGATATAAGGCCTCTTTTAGTTACTGTATGTGAGTATACTTCTTGATACCTAGGTTCTGATTGGTCTTTCTACCATTGATTGAACTCTTTATTGCCCTTTCTCTTGAGATCTCTCTTGACCCAAGAGATTGTGGGAAGGTTTGTTGTGTCTGTTTCTAGCATGGCGCCCTCTTTTGCTAGTATATCAGCAGCCTCATTACCATCAATATCTCTGTGTCCAGGAATCCACTTGACAGTCACTCCAGGAGTGTGTGCTGTGGCAAGTTCTTGAAACCGTAGAAAAATGTTCTGTGATGTCTCGGGTGGAGTCCCATTAAGCCCATCTACCACTGATGTGTTGTCCAGGCAGACATATAGCTGTTTTCTGTATCCAATTGCCCTGGCTGCTGCAAGACCTTGGAGAGCACCATGGACTTCAGCATCCACTACTTCTGCTTGTAGAAGTCTGCCCCTTCCCCGGTATACTTCTTGTGCAGTGCCGCCTTTCCTGATGGTATAACCCCATCCAGTGCGGGTTGTGCCTTGGTCATCCAATTGTGATCCATCTGAGTAGATGACAAGGTCAGTGTTCGTATTTCTCTCCTGTAACCATTGCTTGAAGAGCTCTATTTCTTTGTCCTTGTCTTTATGGACTGGGGCCTTCTTCCATGATGGCTTGGTGAGTATTGGTCTCTGGAAGTCAGGGACTAGTTGGAAGCTTCTTTGTAGCCTTGTTGGTTCTTTGCGAGCTTGTATTTGGAGCCTGCCAACAAGAGGGTGTCTCTGGTCTACTCTTCCGAGTCGGAAGCCGTGACGTCTTCTTATTGACTCTGCAAGAATTCCTGCTGGAGGAATCTGTGATTCAAAGTGTAGGATATGTCCAGGGTGTGTTTTCCAGACCGGCAGGATAGCTCTGATTGCCGTTCGTAGTACAGCATCTATCGTTCCAAGAAGCCTTTTAATGCGACATGCTGATGTCCCACCTAAGCTCCCAATTTTTTCTATTCCTGGGTACCAGGCCTCCAGGCCGTATGTAAGAATAGGAATAACACAAGTTTTCACAGCCTTCTTGGTTGACTTTACTGGAAGTCCTTTGACTGTGTTGCATAGTCCTCGAATGTGGTTTGCTACCCTACTAGCTTTCTTGGCCCAGTAAGAAACGTGATCTTTGAAGTTCAGTTTTCTATCCAGGAAGACACCCAGCCATCGCATAGAGTTCTTGGCTGTTCTGTTCATTGTCCCGTGGCGGACCGGAGGATTGTCTGAGTTCTTTTTCCGTGAGAAATGCATGATCTCGGTTTTGTCGGGATCAAATTCAATAGCGTTGTCGTGTCCCCATTGGTTGAGCAGGTAAAGATTTTCAGAAGCCTCTTTGGCTGTTTCTTTGAGGTCCTTTCCAATGCAGAGAGTTGCTAGGTCGTCTGCATATCCAAAGCGTCTTCTTTTCATCCCGAGTCGGGCACAGATTGGCTCTGTATATAGTATATAAAGAATTGGAGAAGCTGGTGAGCCTTGTGGTAGCCCACAAGTGAGGGCTTTTATATCGGTCACAATACCTTCAAACCGAACTCTTGCGGATCGTTCAGACATGAATGACTGGACCCATCTTATAAGAAAGCCTGGCCAGCCCTGTTCTCTCATGCGAACCACCAGCCGTCCCATTAGGGCAGCATCGAAGGCCCCTGTCACATCTGCTGTGACTACCGTTGCAACAAGGCCTTGGTCAAGGGCCTGCTCAATATCGTGTATGAGTGCAGCTACCAAGTCGGTGGCAGAGCGCTTTGGTAGAGCTCCAAAATGTTGTGGAGCTAGAATTCCAAGTTTGATAACAAACCAGGCAATTCTTTTTGCAATGAGTCGTTCTAGGCCTTTGCCAAGACATGATAATAGCGATATTGGTCTGTAGGCCCTGGGGTTGGAGTAGTCTTTCTTGTCTGGCTTTGGGATCATCACCACCTCAGCTACTTTGAATGGTTTAGGGTGGTGTCCAATCTGTAGGCAGGTCTGAAAAAGGGCTCTGATATGCTCCCCAATGACTGGCCAGCAAGCTTTCAGAATCCGTACTGTGAGGGTGTCTACTCCCGGGGAGTTGCTCTTGGTCCTTATAGTGCACCCTTCAGCCTCTTCTAGTCCGACATGGTATTCGAGGGGGATGTGTGGCTTGGCTTGTGTGATCTGAACAGACCAGGGGTCGGTGATATCGTTGTCTGGGGTGCTTTGTTCAAGCGTGGCTAAGCGTAGTGCATTTGCTTTGCTCTCTTGTGACTCATAGATTTGGTCCCCAATAATGATTGGTGGGGAACGTAATCCTGCTGACAGCTTGTGCCAGGAAACAATTCTGTACAGGTCTTTTGGTTCAGTCGCTGAATCAATTAGAGTCTGCCAGTACTCTCTCTTAGCTTTTTGGACCACACAGCGAAATTCCCGTCGGGCTGAATTTCGCCCTTCTTGGCTTGTGGTCTGTTTAGAAAGGGCCCTGTATGTCTGAGCAGCTGCTTTGCAGTCATCATTCCACCAAGCAGTGGGCCTAGATTGACCGGGCTTCTTGCCCACTGTCCTGATACAGCCTTGAATCATGTTGATCAAGCTTTGTGTAAATCTATCCACCTGGCCAGGGGATACACCTAGCTGGGGGAGTTCATGAATCCTGGTTTGGACATTGTCTGCCAGCTCTTGTAGTTTGTCGTCCGGTACTATCCAATGATTGGCCTTGGGAACTCGGTCCCGATCTCTCTGAATTGGAATGACTATTCGTAATGTCTCGTGATCTGAGGTGCACTGAAGTGCATCATTGACTGAGGCTTCAGCCATGGGGACATCTGAGAACACCAGATCCAGTACATTTCCATCGTCATGTGTTGGGACATCTGGTTCAGAAATCAGATCCAGTCCGTGGTCTGCCATAGTCTGTGCAAGTATGACACCACCGTGATATCCTGGATTGTTCGAGTCCCAGGATGTGTCGCCAGCATTAAAATCTCCAGCTATAACACAGCCAAAAGGTGGAGTCCATACTTCTAGAATGTCATCCACTTCCTGTGGGTTGTCACATGGTCGGTAGACACTGGCAAAAGTGATGCCTTGTACCTTGACCCAGGTGATGTCTTGTGTAGCATAGGGCCGAAGTTGATCCGCTTGAAGGTGTTTTCTCACATAGATGAGAGATCTGGGCCGTGTACTGTCGCTGTCCCAGGAATCCACTGGGGAGTATATATTGTAATTGGGGTGTGTCTTTACTCCCATTCTCTTGCTTGGTGGTATGCCGGCCCAGGGCTCTTGTATCAGAATGATGTCTGCTTGTTCTCCTTTGTAGTCAGCCAGGTTGATGGCTAACTCTGTAGGGCCTGCACTCTTTTGTCCTCCTGC